GTCCTTGATCATCTTCTCTCTGCTGAACCACTTTCTCAAAAAGGTTTTGAGTGACTCGGCTTGTCTTCGAATGGAGTATTTGCTAGAATAGATGCTTCAGATGTACCAACGGTTGTTTGAGATGGGATTGTCCTTCCCATCTCATGTCTTTAGTGAAAGTTCTAGACTACTTTACATGCCAGCTGCAGACTGATATGATAAGGTCTAGTGTGTTTATCTGCTTCTTCACCTCGTGTAGAGGTTGAGAGTTTCAGAGTTTCACCATTTCAAACGTATGGACTACCGTCTCACGTTTTCTGGTCTGTAGAGTGTCAACCATTTGTAGCGCTCAGCTCCCGCTGCACGTCGGCATGTCTGTAGAGGTTTAACCATTTATAACGTGAGCTCGCGCTTCACGTCGGCTGGTCTTTCTCATTAAAAGTTCTAACAATTCTAAGCGTGCAGTTGCCACTCTCACGTTTTCTGGTCTTTCTGGTCTAACCACTTTAAGCCATGTAGCCACAGCTCCGGCTTCCTGGTCTAATGTTAATTTGTCTTTCAAGCCTTTATGCCTTTTTGGTAAAAGGGGCGTTCCTACTTGCTGACACGATCTCCAATGGCACTTGGGGCGTGGCTAGTTACAGTACTGTGCAAAGGATATGATTAGAAGATATCTCTTATGACTCCTAATATCACATTCCTATTTTAACAAAAATATTTTCATCCATTTTCATATCACATAGACAACGTATTGGATGGAAACTTGACAGGTAAATGGGGTATCCTTCCTAAGTTACAGTATTTGGTTCATGCAGTTTTTAATAACATCACAAAATAATAAACAATATGACATGATTATTCTTTAGATCCCCACTGACCATTCCAAACAGTTGGAGCTCATGAATAATGTTCCAATGTTCACTTTTATTGACGTAAGAGTTTTTAGGCAGCAAAGAGTCTCTGGAACAAAGAAAATCTCAGTCTTCCCATACTAGAGACCAAAAGGAGTCCTTTTCTGCAAACGTTTAAGTCATAAAACCGGCCCAACTCCCCTTCTCCTCTCCTGTGGGAGGGGGGGGGGGGTCTGGCTATCTGTCAGCCATTTGCCAAGCTAATCTGGCACCTCTGATCCTCACCAAGGAGAGAGTCATGACACACATTTCGTTTGAATGCATTCAGTTGTGCAACTGACTAGGCATACCCTTTTCCCAGTCTCCTTGCACTTGCCAAACACTACGCCACTCCAACGGACGTTAGTTTTTTCTCCACAATGAATCGATCTGAGTAACTCCCCAACCCTTCATCGAATGCAAACACATTCGGGGCTCTCTGATTGGTCCAGAAACGGATGGATTGGGCCAGAGCACACTTGGGTAAAACGGCGGTTAAATAATGTGTCATAGGCTTTCATACTCAGATTGGTTAGAGACGATACAATCGCTGATTACTTTGTTTTGTACAACACCCCTCGTGCCCCTTGTCAGCACAAACGACTTCAATGATGGCAGTCTCAGTGGAAGAATTTAGTGTGAGTCATCAGGCTAACTCCACACACCACTGGGCGCCAAAAAAATGGGTACAGAGGCTTCCTGCTCTGCCCCCCTGAAGGACAGTGTCACACAACTACTCACATGGGCCTACCTGACTTCTAAATAGGCCCCCACTGACTCTCCGCCATTCGAGGCACACCTGTCTGGGCCTCACTGCTGCCTCACCCTTCTTGGCCATCTCTGGAGGTCCAAACAGGACCCCACTGATCTGGTGACCACACCCCTGTCTGGGCCTCACTCCTCCCTCACCCATATTTGTATTTATTATGGATCCCCATTAGCTGCTGCCAAGGCTGCAGCTACTCTTCCTGGGGTCCACATCACAAAATAAACAAACAAAATAAAACAGTACATCACATAACATGACCACACCACTACATATCCACAGCACAACATTTACAATACCATCATACAACAATATTTAAATGTACGTGTGTGTCTTTGCTAGCATGTGTGTGCTAGCGTGTGTGTTTGCCTGTGGGTCTCTTCACAGTCCGCTTTGTTCCATAAGGTGTAATTTTATCCATTGTTGAAATCTAATTTTACTGCTTGCATGATAATAGAGTTCCATGTAGTCATGGCTCTGTGTAGTACTATGCGTTTCCGGGAGTCTGTTCTGGACTTGGGGACTGGCCCTCTCTGGAGCTCCAGACAGGCCCCCACTGACCTGGTGACCTCTCCCTACTCAAGGCACCCCTGTCTGGCCCTCACTGCTGTCTCGCCCTCTCAGGAGCTCCACAGTCCTGCCTGGCTACCTGCCTTCCCTGTCCCTGGGCCTGAGAATCCAGCTTACTCCCTGGACCTCCAGGACTCCACACCTACTCTCCCTAATCTTCCTACCGGGGCACATCCACTTCCAGAACCATGCAAACCGGGGCACCCGCAATTAAACACCCCATACTAAGACCTCTAAATGTTGGTGTTTTTACCAGGGATGTTTTAGTTGCACAATTTTACATCTAGCTAAAGGTGTTTGGTGCAGTATTTCTCAAGTAAAACAAATTGGGACATTTTGTATTATGTAAACAAAGTCTGAGCTGCTCGACAGGTCTGTCTTAATGTCTATGCTTTTGGACAGAGAGCAATCACCGCAGCTGTTCACCCCATGTTAGTGGGCAAATCGACATCATCAAATCTAAATAAAATTTTAATTTACACGTTGTGAAGCACGGATGTTCCAAACTCCGTTTTAGACGAGACTGACTTTATGACCAAAATTATCCTATTTGGACTTAGTAGTAAGTCTTGACACTAGAATAACTGTTTCTGACTCACACAGACCGTTTTCAAAGGGATTCGTTGCTTTTTAAAAGCAGCTGCTCTTTAACAACCCTATAGTCGATGTCTGTGCCCCCATGGAAATCGAATTAGCATAATACAAAAAAATCCCCATATAAATCTTTCAGTTTAAGCTAGAGATATCTATCAATCCACCGCATCCGCCGATGTTGCACTTCCGCATCTGCGGGGAAAGGTGACAGAGCTAGACCTGTGTTTGTCAAACCATGAGACATCCCGAAAATCGGTCTTCTCACAAAATCGTCTGTAGCGTCCGAACGGTTGGACCTACAAAATAATATGACCCCTCTATGGAAAGATGAGACTCTCACGAACATGTTCTCTGTTTTTTCTCTACGACCCCCACAAGCGTCTTGGGACTCGTCTGAAGTCGGAACTGCGATCTGCCAACTTCTGTCTGTAGCGTCCAAACGGTTTGGGCTACACACTAATATGAACCCTCTGTGGAAAGGTGAGACTCTCACAGGGACGCCCACAGGCCTCACAAGACTTGTCTGAAGGTCCCCCGGTACCAGTTGAACAAATTTATGGAAGTATTTGGAGACTGTTTAGTGCCAAAAATAAGGGGTACATGTCCCCCCAAAAAAATCCTGATCTTTCTTATATCTCTCAGATATAGGACAGACACTTCAGAACAAACTTCCTTTTGATTCTTTTTTGGGGGGGGACTATGTGTTGTTCCATGTACTGAATATGTTATTCAATGTGTTGGTATGGGCTAATAGCAATAAGACCAAATAACATTTTTCATTTAAAAAATGTTTTTTGGGGGATACTTCAAGGGGTTTTAAAATTCAAAATCAAATAGCAAAATGATCCTTGGTATGACCTACTTAAAACAATTCCATATAGCTTAGATATATGAACTTAAAAACAAATTGATTGAAAAGCTCCTTGATCAATTCTGTCGACCAGCCAGTGGTTGTGTTTTCGGGGGTTGAATTAAATGTATTCTGTGTATGCAAAGGTAAGTTAATATCAATTACTAAGAAGTGCTTAAATTAAAACACATAGGAAAGGCGTACATTTCCTAAGTTCGAATCGGTTCCCAAGTCACTTGCCAATAATGCATAAAATGTTTGAGGTCTATCATTCTTACTGAACACAATCAAAGTTAACATAGATGTCTTCAATTGCCTAACTTATAGATATGCCCAATTTAGACATGTAAAAAAAAACGGATATTGGGCTCCAAAGGGATAACTTGAAATAACAATCAAATAATCAAAATAAAATTTTTAATTATTTAATAGCCTAGTGGTTATAAGTATTTAGGCATATCATGTGAAATAGGTCTTGTGAAATCATTGTCAAAAGCGCAAGAGATATTGTTGAATGTAAGTCTAGGTCATTTATGGGTTGATCATACAGAAATGTCACAACATTCCTACAACAATTCCAAAGCAATTGAGTGTCTATGCCATGGGAACCTCTGACTCGCTGACTTTTTATATTATCAAGACACATAGGCTACTGGTACATCTTAACTTGTTTGGACAGCTCATGAGGTCTCCTAAATATCTGTCGACTAGGTAGGACTCTCATGACTTAAGAGGCGTCATGCATATAGCTTTTTCGTTTACCGTAAGAGTAGGAGTTAAATGTCTCTATTCTCAGCACTTACGAGCAATTTTCTATTCTGAGACGCTATGTGGATACAGCCCCGGAGCGGAGAATGAACCGTCACTTATTTTAAGAAACACTGCGCTCAACGTACAAGTTCCCGTTGTGTACTAGTGTCTATCTGGTTCCCTTGTGTCAGATATTCTGAGGAAATTCAACCCAAACATCGAAGGTGTCTCCAAGGGTCAGAGCAAGAAGCAGAATGGCTTCAATGTGGCTGTGTCAGGAGCCAAAGTAGCGTAAGTAGCCTGTTATAATGTCAACTGTCGTTAGGCCTAGAGAAAGCTACCATCAGCGCAACGTAACAGCTGATATGAGCTTTTAACAACCATTATGTAGGACTTATACGCGGTGCCTCATGTTTTTCTCGACCAATAATTTAATTTACCTGTATTTCAGTCATTATCCACAAAGTGTAGATAGTTAAAATGTGTCTACCTATAAAAACTATTGTCAACAAGTTACAACAACGTATCCCGTCAACCAACTGAATATGTCAAACAGCGTTTATACCTAATAATTTCTCCCCACCGCACAGCCGCGTTGGACATGCGTTTCATGCCCTTTGGTTTGGTGGCACCTGGTTTTGGTTTGTCCGACAGCGTTGTGGTGGACTGGTGAGAAATTATTGGGGATAAATGCTATTCAACGTTTTTCAGTTGGTGGATGGACAGCGCCGTCACTCAAGCCTAAGCCCTCTCCCGACCACAACTCCCGTTAAAAACCATTGAGTTTCTGCGTATTTGACAGATCCTGGTTTTGAAAATGCCCTTATGTTTATAACTCCTCCCTTTAACTCACACAGGGGAATCCCAGAGCAGGTCAGACGCCTCATCGATGCCATGAAGAACAATACGGTGAGAAGAGATAATATCTCTAGATAATATCTATACAGTGAGAAGAGATAACATTATATTATAATTAGGGCTGTCAAACGATTAAAACATTTAATCGAGTTAACTTGCAGAATTTGCTGCAATTAAGTGAGCTGTAATTTAAGATTTTTCATACAAAGAACATTACAATAATATTGCTGTCTTGATTTTGTCTAAATTAAATGTTAGCAAAATGTGTTAATTGAGAAAGCACACTTTATTTAACCTCAATGTCAACTTGTTTTTACATGGCATTGATTTTAGCTGTATAGATTATCTATTTCGGATGTTTTCAGCTTATTTTCAACGCATTCGGACAATGCGATTAAAAAAACCTAACATTTCAAAAAGTTAACTCGAGTTAACTGATTAACTCTGACAGCCCTAATTATAATAATGGCTTGCATTTATGTAGCAGCACCATAAAGGGCTTTACGATGTATGGGATTGTTGACTTGCCCATCCACCACCAATGTGTAGCACCATAGCCTTTTTAAGGATAGCTTTTCCACTCCCTATTTTGTATTTATTATTAATTCAATTCAAGTGAGTAAAACTTGCAGTACCTCTTACAGTGGCAGCAGAGGGGCTTTTCGGATGGCTTGCATACACCCAAAAGCTGACATATTGTGCATTTTTGGACGAACAATCATCTCTGTTGTGTGTTTGCTGCATCAATAATTGGACAACATTGTCTCCCTCTCTTATTTCCCTCTCCCTCTCTATCCCACTCACATACACAGGCGGTGGATTTCGAGAAGGACTGGAAATTGGTGACCCTCTTCATTGGGGGCAATGACCTGTGTCAGTACTGCAATAATAGGGCGAGTCTAAATAATAAGAATAATATCATAACCATTATAACTTTACTAGCAGCAATTTAATCAGCTGATTGGATAATGATAAATCAATAGCACGTTTTGAAAGGCTTTTCCCATTTAAGTCTGCATGAATGTTACATTGAAATGCATTTATATTTTAATATCGGTGTGCATGATTCATGCCACAATGAAATTGCAATGTTAAAATGAAAAAAATTGGAAATCATAAACTAAATGAAAATGGTAAACATAACATGGCAAATGTTAAACCGAAAATGTTAAATGCAATGTGTAAATTGAAATGGAAAGTGTCTGTCTTGGAGATTAAATTGGGATCATACATGCTCTGCTAATGTCGATTACTAAAAAGGAGTATAACGGTACGGCGAACTTAACAAACAAGGCATTTGTGGTAAGTGCATGGAGGCCGCCATCTTTATGCACCTTGGCAATTTTTCTGGAGTCACGCAAAGTTACTCATCACATGGTCTCCGAACCATCTCCGTTACACTAGCAGCTCCTTGACCACACAGCAGGCACACTTTCAACAGGGCTCAGATGGGTCTCTGAGTAGCAGGAGAAGGATGGTGAATTGTAACTGACGTAGTGCATTGACCACACATGCATGATTAGTAGTCCCAACCTTGCCTGAGACCTGAAGAGTTTCATTGGCTTCCTGAATCAATGCCTAGGCTTGGGTTTAGCAGACCAATTTGCTCTTCTGGTGCACAGGATACCTGGGTTCGCACCCTGTTGGTTACACTAGTCAAATATCAATTCACAGAGAGCTTGATATGGCTAGTATGTACTACATACAGTGAGGGAAAAAAGTATTTGATCCTCTGCTGATTTTGTACTTTTGCCCACTGACAAAGAAATGATCAGTCTATAATTTTAATGGTAGGTTTATTTGGACAGTGAGAGACATAATAATAACAAAAAATTCCAGAAAGATGCATGTCAAACATGTTATAAATTGAATTTGCATTTTAATGAGGGAAATAAGTATTTGACCCCCTCTCAATCAGAAAGATTTCTGGCTCCCAGGTGTCTTTTATACAGGTAACGAGCTGAGATTAGGAGCACACTCTTAAAGGGAGTGCTCCTAATCTCAGCTTGTTACCTGTATAAAAGACACCTGTCCACAGAAGCAATCAATCAATCAGATTCCAAACTCTCCACCATGGCCAAGACCAAAGAGCTCTTCAAGGATGTCAGGGACAAGATTGTACACCTACACAAGGCTGGAATGGGCTACAAGACCATCGCCAAGCAGCTTGATGAGAAGGTAACAACAGTTGGTGCGATTATTCGCAAATGGAAGAAACACAAAATAACTGTCAATCTCCCTCGGCCTGGGGCTCCATGCAAGATCTCACCTTGTGGAGTTGCAATGATCATGAGAATGGTGAGGAATCAGCCCAGAACTACACGGGAGGATCTTGTCAATGATCCCAAGGCAGCTGGACCATAGTCACCAAGAAAACAATTGGTAACACACTACGCTGTGAAGGACTGAAATCCTGAAGCGCCCGCAAGGTCCCCCTGCTCAAGAAAGCACATATACATGCCCGTCTGAAGTTTGCCAATGAACATCTGAATGATTCAGAGGAGAACTGGGTGAAAGTGTTGTGGTCAGATCAGACCAAAATGGAGCTCTTTGGCATCAACTCAACTCACCGTGTTTGGAGGAGGAGGAATGCTGCCTATGACCCCAAGAACACCATCCCCACTGTCAAACATGGAGGTGGAAACATTATCCTTTGGGGGTGTTTTTCTGCTAAGGGGACAGGACAACTTCACCGCATCAAAGGGACGATGGACGGGGCCATGTAACGTCAAATCTTGGGTGGGAACCTCCTTCCCTCAGCCAGGGCATTGAAAATGGGTTGTGGATGGGTATTCCAGCATGACAATGACCCAAAACACACGGCCAAGGCAACAAAGGAGTAGCTCAAGAAGAAGCACATTAAGGTCCTGCTTGGCGATGGTCTTGTAGCCCATTCCATTTTTGACATGCGTTTTTCTGGATTTTTTTGTTGTTATTCTGTCTCTCACTGTTCAAATAAACCTACCATTAAAATTATAGACTGATCATGTCTTTGTCAGTGGGCAAACGTACAAAATCAGCAGGGGATCAAATACTTTTTTCCCTCACTGTATGTATGTATGTATGTATGTATTGTAGCAATCCTCGCTATATGAGCCACGCTACAATTCCCACCAAGTGGGTTAATCCTATTGCCGCGATGTGTTTTGCCTTTCATGCCGGGGACCCTGGTTCGCTTCCCGCTCCCTTTGTTTGCTATGTATGTTCAGTAACACTTCCATTCCCATCTCTCAATACAGGCCTCATTATCCCCCAAGAACTATAGCCGGCATATGATGGCGAGCTTGGACCTGCTCTACAAAGAGGTAATAGGACGTCTTTATCATTGGGCATGGAACCTAATTTTATGTGGGAAATTTGCATGGTTTAGTTTTAGGCTTAAAGGAAAATTCCACCCAAAAACAATATTTCATTAGTCCATTGTTTATATCCCACAATGTTTTGCATGTCAGCAATCACTGACAAGCAATAACTTTCAAAATACAAAAATACAGGTGGTATGATGCATTTTGCATCAGATGATGCTGCATTTTGCATCATATGAAGCAAAATGCATCATTCCGGCTGTATTTCTGTATTTTGAAGGTTGTATATTTTGAAAACTTGAGTTTTTCTTTTAAGTACTCAGCTGTAAAAAATAAATAAAAAGGTGTGGCAACCCATGTAATCAAAATGTAATTTAACATGCACTCTGAAATGTATCTTTGACATGTTAAATGAACACGTTTGAATGGCAAACGGACTGTATGAACATTTCCAGTAGGGCCTACTTACTAATTCTTCATACTCATTTAAATGTAGGCAAACTTTTTGCTGACTCAATTAAATAAAAAGTAGCACAATTGCATGACTTTGAGAAGATTACTTGTAGCCTAGGCCTATTATTAGATTAGAAGACCTTTGCTATATTCAGTTTGGAATATGGTTCACACGTAATTACAAACAGAATAAATAAGAAGCAAGTCCATATACCATGGGGGGAGGGGAGGAGCTATGTACAGGGGATGGATAGCTCTGACAGTTCCAGCCGCTGGGATGAAGGTTTTTAGGTGTGGATTTGGTGCTCCAGGAATGGGTGGCTTGCATCATCCATTAGCTGTTTTGCTTTGTTCGTCATCAGCTTTCTGTAGTTCAGTCACAGACATTTGGGCACTGCCAATAATTTAGCTGGCTTGTCTGACCTCTCTCTCCAGCTTCTTATGGTCCTGGACACACATGAGGCAGAATGAAAGGATGCTCTGGACTACACTGCTGTAGAACAGGGTCATCAGGGTAATTCAAATAGTTCAACTTTCTCATGAAATAGAGGCAGTGCTGGGTTTTCAAAAGGCTCAGTTTTTTGTCAATTTCTAAGATCTGCTTGTTGTCAATTTTAAACCTGAGATATTTGTATGTATTCACTCTCTGGATTTCTGAGTCCCATTTTTTTGTGGAGGGGATGCCTGCCATATCTCGTTGGAAATTGATCACCAAGTCTTGTGTTTTCTTGACATTTATCTCCAGATAGTTATCACTACACCAGGGGTGTATTCATTAGTCAGACACTGTTGCAAAAAAATTTGCACCGTAGCAAAATGTTTTGCAACGGAAACCGTTTACTTCAAACATAAAACATTTTTCAATGAAACCGAGAGTTTCTATTGGACAAATTCAGGTAGGTCCCTCCCAGTTTTGTTCCATTTGCTTCTGTTTGGTTGTAGTGCACCCCATTCACCCCTCATTCACTAAACCTCAACTAAATCTTATAATAAATAATATGGAAATTTAGTTACTTGAGGTGACTAAACTGCTTGTAGTAACCCTGGATTGTAAACTGTCATGGTCAAAACATGTTAATATAACAGTAGCTAAGATGGGGAGAAGTCTGTCCATGATAAAGCGCTATCCTGCCTTTTAAACAACACTATCAACAAGGCAGGTCCTACAGGCTCTAGTTTTGTCGCACCTGGACTACTGTTCAGTCATGTGGTCAGGTGCCACAAAGAGGGACCTCGAAAAATTACAATTGGCTCAGAACAGGGCAGCACGTCTAGCCCTTAAATGTACATGGAGAGCTAACATTAATAATATGCATGTAAATCTCTCATGGCTCAAAGTGGAGGACAGATTGACTTCATCACTACTTGTTTGTAAGAAGTGTTGACATGCTAGCACACAGCTCGGACACCCATGCATACTCCGCAAGACATGCCACCAAAGGTCTCTTCACAATCCCTAAATCCAGAACAGACTATAGGAGACGCACAGTACTACATAGAGCCATGGCTACATGGAACTCTATTCCACATCAGGTAACTGATGCAAGCAGTAGAATCAGATTTTAAAAACAAACAGCGGGGACTATGAAGACACAAACACAGGCACATACACACATCAATCAATCAAATGTATTTATAAAGCCCTTTTTACATCAGCAGATGTCACAAAGTGCTATACAGAAACCCAGCCTAAAACCCCAAACAGCAAGCAATGCAGATGTAGAAGCACGGTGGCTAGGAAAAACTCCCTAGAAAGGCAGAAACCTAGGAAGAAACCTAGAGAGGAACCAGGCTCTGAGGGGTGGCCAGGCCCCTTCTGGCTGTGCCGGGTGGAGATTATAACTGTACAGTGTCTTGCGAAAGTATACACCCCCCTTGGCATTTTTCCTATTTTGTTGCCTTGCAACCTGGAATTAAAGTGGATTTTTTGGGGGTTTGTATCATTTGATTTACAACATGCCTACCACTTTGAAGATGCAAAATATTTTTTATTGTGAAACAAACAAGCAAGTCAATCCTTTGTAGAGCCACCTTTTGCAGCAATTACAGCTGCAAGTCTCTTGGGGTATGTCTCTATAAGCTTGGCACATCTAGCCACTGGGATTTTTGCCCATTCTTCACGGCAAAACTGCTCCAGCTCCTTCAAATTGGATGGGTTCCGCTGGTGTACAGCAATCTTTAAGTCATACCACAGATTCTCAATTGGATTGAGGTCTGGGCTTTGACTAGGCCATTCCAAGACATTTCAATGTTTCCCCTTAAACCACTCGAGTGTTGCTTTAGCAGTATGCTTAGGGTCATTGTCCTGCTGGATGGTGAACCTCCGTCCCAGTCTCAAATCTCTGGAAGACTGAAACAGGTTTCCCTCAAGAATTTCCCTGTATTTAGCACCATCCATAATTCCTTCAATTCTGACCAGTTTCCAAGTCCCTGCCGATGAAAAACATTCATGGTGTTCTCGGGGTGATGGGTTTGCGCCAGACATAGCGATTTCCTTGATTTACATTTTAGTAATTTAGCAGACGCTCTTATCCAGAGCAACTTACAGTTAGTGAGTGCATACATTCTTTTATTTTTTTCATACTGACCCCCGTGGGAAACAAACCCACAATCCTGGCATTGCAAACGCCATGCTCTACCAACTGAGCTACATCCCTGCCGGCCATTCTCTCCCCTACCCTGGACAATGCTGGGCCAATTGTGCACCGCCCCTCATCTGACCAGAGGACCTTCTTCCATATGTTTGGGGAGTCTCCCACATGCCTTTTGGCGAACACCAAACGTGTTTGCTTATTTTTTCCTTTAAGCAATGGCTTTTTTCTGGCCATTCATCCGTAAAGCCCAGCTCTGTGGAGTTTATGGCTTAAAGTGGTCCTATGGACAGATACTCCAATCTGCAGAGCCTCTCTGATTAATGCCCTCCTTGCCTGGTCCGTGAATTTTGGTGGGCAGCCCTCTCTTGGCAGGTTTGTTGTGGAGCCATATTCTTTCCATTTTTTTATAATGGATTTAATAGTGCTCCGTGGGATGTTCAAAGTTTCTGATATTTTTTTATAACCCAACCCTGATCTGTACTTCTCCACAACTTTGTCCCTGACCTGTTTGGAGAGCTCCTTGGACTTCATGGTGCCGCTTGCTTGGTGGTGCCCCTTGCTTAGTGGTGTTGCAGACTCTGGGGCCTTTCAGAACAGGTGTGTATATATTCTGAGATCATGTGACAGATCATGTGACACTTAGATTGCACAAAGGTGGACTTTATTTAACTAATTATGTAACTTCTGAAGGTAATTGGTTGCACCACATCTTATTTAGGGGCTTCATAGCAAAGGGGGTGAATACATATGCACTCACCACTTTTCCGCTATTTATTTTATAGAATTTGTTGAAACAAGTTATTTTTTTCATTTCACTTCACCAATTTGGACTATTTTGTGTATGTCCATTACATGAAATCCAAATAAAAATCCATTTAAATTACAGGTTGTAATCCAACAAAATAGGAAAAACACCACTTTTGCAAGGCACTGTACATTTTTTTCCAAGATGTTCAAACATTCATAGATGACTAGCAGGGTCAAATAATCATCACAGTGGTTGTAGAGGTTGCAACAGGTCAGTACATCAGGAGTAAATGTCACTTGGCTTTTCATAGCCGGGCATTTAGAGGTTGAAATAGCAGGTACGGTAGAGAGAGAGTTGAAAACAGCAGGTCTGGGACAAGGTAGCACGTCCGGTGAACAGGTCAGGGTTTCATAGCCGCAGGCAGAAGAGTGGAAACTGGAGCAGCAGCACGACCAGGTGGACTGGGGACAGCAAGGTGTCATCAGGCCAGGTAGTCCTGAGGCATGGTCCTAGGGCTCAGGTCCTCCGGGAGGGGAGGGAGAGAGAGAGAATTAGAGGGAGCATACTTAAATTCACACAGGACACCAGATAAGACAGGAGAATAACACCAGATATAACAGACTTAACCTTGCCCCCCGGCACATAGACTATTGAGGCATAGATACTGGAGGCTTAGACAGGGAGGGTCGGGAGATGATAAGACACGCACTCTACACACACGTACATATGGATTTTGTATTGTAGATATGTGATAGTAGAGTAGTGGCCTGGGGATCAAATCAAATCAAACTTTATTTGTCACATGCGCCGAATACAACAGGTGTAGACCTTACCGTGAAATGCTTCCTTACAAGCCCTTAATCAACAATGCAGTTCAAGAAAGAGTTAAGAAAATATTTACCAAAGAAACTAAAGTAAAAAATTATAAAAAGTAACACAATAAAATAACAATAACAAGGTTATATACAGGGGGTACTAGTACCGAGTCAATGTGCGGGGGTACAGGGTAGTCGAGGTAATTTGTACATGTAGGTAGGGGTAAAGTGACTATGCATAGATAATATACAGCGGGTATCAGCAGTGTAAAAACAAATGAGGGGGGGTCCTTAGCTTGGTGATGAGCTTTGTGGGCACTATGGTGTTGAACGCTGAGCTGTAGTCAATGAACATAATTCTCACATAGGTGTTCCTTTTGTCCTGGTGGGAAAGGGCAGTGTGGAGTGCGATTGAGATTGCGTCATCAGTGGATCTGTTGGGGCGATATGGGAATTGGAGTGGGTCTAGGGTATCCGGGATGATGCTGTTGATGTGAACCATGACCAGCCTTTCAAAGCACTTCATGGGTACTGACGTGAGTGCTACGGGGCGGTAATCATTTAGGGAGGTTACCTTCGCTTCCTTGGGCACAGGGTCTGCTTGAAACATGTAGGTATTACAGACTCGGTCAGGGAGAGGTTGAAAATGTCAGTGAAGACACTTGCCAGTTGATCCGTGCATGCTTTGAGTAATCCATCTGGCTCCGCGGCTTTGTGAATGTTGACCTGTTTAAAGGTCTTGTTCACATTGGCTACCGAGAGCGTTTTCACACAGTCGTCTGGAACAGCTGATGCTCTCATGCATGCTTCAGCGTTGCTTGCATCGAATCGAGCATAAAAGGCATTTCGCTCCCCCCACATATACACCCGCCCATACCCACATACTGTGCCTTCTATGTCCTCTGTTTGCTGTGTTTTTATCTCTACCATGTTTATTCCTACCTAATTTCGGGCTTTTGAGTACTTTTGTGTTCCAGCTCCTTATATTTGAAGATGTATTATTTCAATAATTGTTGTTTATTTTAATGCTGTCTTATCTATTTATAAATAATATAAATAGAAAGTTGAATACTAATTGAATACTGTTGCATTTTATTGGTTTCCTGTTTTTATTACAATCCCCACCATGGATAGTGTTGGGTGTTCCATTATTCGAGTCCTCTATGGGAACTTTATATTTTTTAGAATAGCCATGGAGTAGTCTTGGTGTCTCGGAGCAGTTGGTTATCAATGTACAATTTATCGACTACGAGTGCTACACGTTTCCCTTTGAGTCTATTCACTATGAAGAGTGGGTACAGAACTTTGCTCCGTTCTACAATTTCCTTCAGGAACTAATCGTTCATGCCTGTTTTGTGCCAGCGAGTCTTTTGCCCTGGCTTTTAACAATTATTTTATCTTTAAAGAATGCAAATTTGACAACGATTAGATACTCATATCGCTTTCGTCTCTGTCTGAAAAGGTGTACACGTTCAAGTTGGATTTTGTCGACGGTATCGCCTGGGATTTGTAGCGCTTTAACCTCTTTAGGATCACATCCTTCTTCTTAATTTCTGCCTAAATGACATATCCAAACCTAACTGCCTGTAGCTCAGGACCTGAAGCAAGGATATGCAAATTATTGATACTATTTGAAAGGAAACACTTTGAAGTTTGTGGAAATTTAAAATTATTGTAGGATAACATAACATAATAGATCTGGTAAAAGATAAAACAAACAAAAAAAACGGTTTTCTATTTTTATTTTAGTTGCATCTTTGACATGAAAAATAAAAGCCATAGATTACGATAATTTAGATGTTGTCCACAAGAGGTCAACAGTGTGTGCAAAGTTTCAGACTGATACCTTCAAGAATGAGCGAGCTACATAACATTTAGTATGAAGTCACCCAGGTGTCCCTCATGAGTTTGCCCAAGTGGCCGAATTGGTAAATTGATACATTTTCAAGTACATACAGTGGGGGAAAAAAGTATTTAGTCAGCCACCAATTGTGCAAGTTCTCCCACTTAAAAAGATGAGAGAGGCCTGTAATTTTCATCATAGGTACACGTCAACTATGCCAGACAAATTGAGATTTTTTCTCTCCAGAAAATCACGTTGTAGGATTTTTTATGAATTTATTTGCAAATTATGGTGGAAAATAAGTATTTGGTCACCTACAAACAAGCAAGATTTCTGGCTCTCACAGATCTGTAACTTCTTCTTTAAGAGGCTCCTCTGTCCTCCACTCGTTACCTGTATTAATGGCACCTGTTTGAACTTGTTATCAGTATAAAAGACACCTGGCCACAACCACAAACAGTCACACTCCAAAATCCACTATGGCCAAGACCAAAGAGCTGTCAAAGGACACCAGAAACAAAATGGTAGACCTGCACCAGGCTGGGAAGACTGAATCTGCAATAGGTAAGCAGCTTGGTTTGAAGAAATCAACTCTGGGAGCAATTATTAGGAAATGGAAGACATACAAGACCACTGATAATCTCCCTCGATCTGGGGCTCCATGCAAGATCTCACCCCGTGGGGTCAAAATGATCACAAGAACGGTGAGCAAAAATCCCAGAACCACACGGGGGGACCTAGTGAATAACCTGCAGAGAGCTGGGACCAAAGTAACAAAGCCTACCATCAGTAACACACTACGCCGCCAGGGACTCAAATCCTGCAGTGCCAGACGTGTCCCCCTGCTTAAGCCAGTACATGTCCAGGCCCATCTGAAGTTTGCTAGAGTGCATTTGGATGATCCAGAAGAGGATTGGGAGAATGTCATATGGTCAGATGAAACCAAAATAGAACTTTTTGGTAAAAACTCAACTCGTCATGTTTGGAGGACAAAGAATGCTGAGTTGCATCCAAAGAACACCATACCTACTGTGAAGCATGGGGGTGGAAACATCATGCTTTGGGGCTGTTTTTCTGCAAAGGGACCAGGACGACTGATCCGTGTAAAGGAAAGACTGAATGGGGCCATGTATCGTGAGATTTTGAGTGAAAACCTCCTTCCATCAGCAAGGGCATTGAAGATGAAACGTGGCTGGGTCTTTCAGCATGACAATGATCCCGAACACACCGCCCGGGCAACTAAGGAGTGGCTTCGTAAGAAGCATTTCAAGGTCCTGGAGTGGCCTAGCCAGTCTCCAGATCTCAACCCCATAGAAAATCTTTGGAGGGAGTTGAAAGTCCGTGTTGCCCAGTGACAGCCCTAAAACATCACTGCTCTAGAGGAGATCTTCATGGAGGAATGGGCCAAAATACCAGCAACAGTGTGTGATAACCTTGTGAAGACTTACAGAAAACGTTTGACCTGTGTCAATGCCAACAAAGGGTATATAACAAAGTATTGAGAAACTTTTGTTATTGACCAAATACTTATTTTCCACCATAATTTGCAAATAAATTCATTAAAAATCCTACAATGTGATTTTCTGGATTTTTTTTCTCATTTTGTCTGTCATAGTTGACGTGTACCTATGATGAAAATTACAGGCCTCTCTCATCTTTTTAAGTGGGAGAACTTGCACAATTGGTGGCTGACTAAATACTTTTTTTCCCCACTGTAACTATAGAGAACATACAAAAATGCTATGGTAATAAAAAATACAAGTTTACACACTCCCAGGAATATCATACATGATGGATCATTAGCTTCCCTACATAAGACACTAACCTTCACACATCTAGATGGCCGGGCGGGGTGGGTGTGGAGCCAGAGACAGCAGTAGGGGTCCGACTGAATGAACCAGTTTCTAATGGAGGACTTGAATGTGGTCTCTTTAGTGTTGGCTCCCAGAGGTCATTTGAGTCAGAGTCTCTAGCACTATAGAATATATTTTTTTAAATCAGTAAGAACTCAAGTTTACTATTACTTATTTTATTGAACCTGTATTTTAGCAGTTGGTGAGCCTTGCATCAATACTTTTACGGATGAGTCCTGCATCAATACATCAAATAAACAACATATACAGTTTTTATATACATATATTATATAGAGTTTGGGCAACACAATCACTATGATGAAATGTGTTTACCAATAGTAAATAGGGCACAGACCTACAATGTATTTATACAGAGCTAAGATGTATTAGCATAGCCATTGTGTATTTTATGTTGACTGAGTCTCTAGCACTATAGAATATTTTTAAAATGCAGTAAGAACTCAAATGTACTATTACTTATTTTATTGAACCTTTATTTTAGTAGGGGGTGAGCCCTGCATCAATTATTTTAGCAGGGGGGTGAGCCCTAGCCAATGTGTATTTTATGTTGACTATCACATGCTGTGCCTGTGGTTTTCGAGTGCCCTATTTACCATTAGTAAACATATTTCATTATAGTGACCACTGACAAAGACATGATCAGTCTATCATTTTAATGGCAGGTTTATTTGAACAGTGAGAGACAGAATAACAACAAAAAAATCCAGAAAAACGCATGTCAAAAATGTTATAAATTGATTTGCATTTTAATGAGGGAAATAAGTATTTGACCCTTTTGCAAAACATGACTTAGTACTTGGTGGCAAAACCCTTGTTGGCAATCACAGAGGTCAGACGTTTCTTGTAGTTGGCCACCAGGTTTGCACACATCTCAGGAGGGATTTTGTTCCACTCCTCTGCAGATCTTCTCCAAGTCATTAAGGTTTCGAGGCTGACGTTTGGCAACTCGAACCTTCAGCTCCCTCCACAGATGTTCTATGGGATTAAGGTCTGGAGACTGGCTAGGCCACTCCAGGACCTTAATGTGCTTCTTCTTGAGCCACTCCTTTGTTGCCTTGGCTGTGTGTTTTGGGTCATTGTCATGCTGGATACCCATTCACGACCCATTTTCAATGCCCTGGCTGAGGGAAGGAGGTTCTCATCCAAGATTTGACGGTACATGGCCCCGTCCATCGTCCCTTTGATGAGGTGAAGTTGTCCTGTCCCCTTAGCAGAAAAACACCCCCAAAGCATAATGTTTCCACTTCCATGTTTGACGGTGGGGATGGTGTTCTTGGTGTCATAGGCAGCATTCCTCCTCCTCCAAACACGGCGAGTTGAGTTGATGCCAAAGAGCTCCATTTTGGTCTGATCTGACCACAACACTTTCACCCAGTTCTCCTCTGAATCATTCAGATGTTCATTGGCAAACTTCTGACGGGTATGTATATATGCTTTCTTGAGCAGGGGGACCTTGCGGGCGCTTCAGGATTTCAGTCCTTCACGGCGTAGTGTGTTACCAATTATTTTCTTGGTGACTATGGTCCCAGCTTCCTTGAGATCATTGACAAGATCCTCCCGTGTAGTTCTGGGCTGATTCCTCACCGTTCTCATGATCATTGCAACTCCACGAGGTGAGATCTTGCATGGAGCCCCAGGCCGAGGGAGATCGACAGGTCTTTTATGTTTCTTCCATTTGCGTATAATCGCACCAACTGTTGTCACCTTCTCACCAAGCTGCTTGGCGATGGTCTTGTAGCCCATTCCAGCCTTGTGTAGGTCTACAATGTTGTCCCTGACATTCTTGGAGAGCTCTTTGGTCTTGGCCATGGTGGAGAGTTTGGAATCTGATTGATTCATTGTTTTTGTGGACAGTTGTCTTTTATACAGGTAACAAGCTGAGATTTGGAGCACTCCTTTGAAGAGTGTGCTCCTAATCTCAGCTCGTTACCTGTATAAAAGACACCTGGGAGCCAGAAATCTTTCTGATTGAGAGGGGGTCAAATACTTATTTCCCTCATTAAAATGCAAATCAATTTATAACATTTTTGACATGCGTTTTTCTGGATTTTTTTGTTGTTATTCTGTCTCTCACTGTTCAAATAAACCTACCATTAAAATTATAGATTGATCATTTATTTGTCAGTGGGCAAACTTACAAATTCAGCAGGGGATCAAATACTTTTTTCCCTCAATGTATACATATAGCAATCAAAGAAAAATATCTCAGATGAATAATATGCAACCATTTAAACAATGGCATTAGCATGAGAAGAAATAAAGTGTTTTACTTACCAGTCTAAAGTTACGTCTTTCCCATCCAAAAGAAATCAGTGTGCGTCTACAGTGTAATCACTGAGTCCTCATCAACTTCTATGTCACATTCCCGATCGATTTCTGCAATAATCTCATCCAAATCTGTATACTTTGTCTTCGATTTAAGATTTTCCTGCTTTATTAGCCATGTTCTACTTCCTAAAATAGCAAAAAACTTAGTAAAAGTAATCGAGCGTGCGTGCGTAATATGTGTCCCTCTTTGTTCTCTCGATTTTATCTGCCCGATGTAGGTTGCACAATGGCAAAATGGCTTTTATGTCACGTTCGTCGGATACAGAGGACCAAGGCGCAGCGTGGAAGGTGAACATATTTATAAATAATGATTACACGAACAAAACAACAAATCGATACGTGACGTCCAAAGGTGCAAAACACAAACCTACACAGGAACAAGATCCCACAAACACTGTGGGAAAACTGGCTGCTTAAGTATGGTTCCCAATCAGAGACAACAAGCAACAGCTGATACACGTTGCCTCTGATTGAGAACCACACTGGCCAACATAGAACTACAAAACTAGAACGAAAAACAAATGAAAACTCACACCCTGGCTCAACATACTAGAGTCCCCAGAGCCAGGGCGTGACAGTACCCCCCCCCCCCCCCCCCCCCAAAGGCGCGGACTCCGGCCGCGCCAACCAAACACCACAGGGGAGGGACCGGGTGGGCACTCCGCCTTGGCGGCGGATCCGGCTCCGGGCATGATTCCCACTCCCTCTCCAACCCCCCAAAGTACCCCTGGTCCGGTCTGACCCTGCTGGCCGGAGCTGGACTGAACACCGGTGGAGCGGATTGCTCTAGCTCCGACGTGGAGCAGCTGACCGGTGCCGAACCAGGCACCGGTGGAACAGGCACGGGCTGTGCCGGACTGACGACGCACACCACTGGCTTGGTGTGGGGAGCAGGAACAGGCCGAACCGGGCTGACGATGCGCACCATAGGCTTGGTGCGTGGAGCAGGAACAGGCCGAACCGGGCTGACGATGCGCACCATAGGCTTGGTGCGTGGAGCAGGAACAGGCCGGGCCGGGCTGACGATGTGCACCATAGGCTTGGTGCGTGGAGCAGGAACAGGCCGGGCCGGGCTGACGACGCGCACCACAGGCTCGATGCGAGGAACAGGAACAGGCCGGACCGTACTGGGGACACACACCACTGGCCCTACGCAGGGATCAGGAACGGGCCGGACTGGACTGGTAACACACCCCAGTACCTCTCGCCGTGCCTCTACACTTTCCCTCTCCTCTGTGACCAGTGGCCCCCTTAACCTGGCGGCCTCCTCTGCAAACCCGCTGGACCGCTCTATCGCGGCCTCCTGCTGCCCCGTCATCCACGGCGTGAGCTCCCCCCCCTAAAACATTTCTGGGGGCCTCTCCTCCCCGTGGGCCAGGCCCAGTCGAGGTTGATGTCCTTTAGCGATACCTCTGGTGCTGGCTCCAGGACACGCTGCTTGGTCCAGTGTTGGTGGGATCTTCTGTCACGTTCGTCGGATACAGAGGACCAAGGCGCAGCGTGGAAGGTGAACATATTTATAAATAATGATTACACGAACAAAACAACAAATCGATACGTGACGTCCAAAGGTGCAAAACACAAACCTACACAGGAACAAGATCCCACAAACACTGTGGGAAAACTGGCTGCTTAAGTATGGTTCCCAATTAGAGACAACAAGCAACAGCTGATACACGTTGCCTCTGATTGAGAACCACACTGGCCAACATAGAACTACAAAACTAGAACGAAAAACAAATGAAAACTCACACCCTGGCTCAACATACTAGAGTCCCCAGAGCCAGGGCGTGACATTTTACTCACACAAAGGACCATCACATACTCCTGTAAAGCCAATCTCATTGGCTATCTAGCTAGCTATGTTTCAAAATGGTAGGTGGTCATTGGACCAAGATACAGTCAATCAAGTGAACACCGCCTGTCTCATTGGTGCGTAATTATGTCAATCCTTGGTGGGCTAATATACCTTTTGATTAGCCAATGGGTTATGCAGAATTATGAAACAAGTTCTGTCGCCTTCTAGAGTATCTGAGGATTGCAGAAAAACCCAACCTGACTGGGTGAAACAAGGTGTAGCGTTTATATTACGTTGAAATGTTTTGTTGCAAGTTCAACTAGTCGGAATTCAGGCGAAACGCTGTATAAAACATGGACCATGTTAGGATATAAAAATGGATTTTATCAAACAAAACAACACTACTTTTTATCTCTGTTACCCTCAGGATGACAAATCAGAGCAAGATTACTGAATGTAAGTACATTATTTACTTTCAGAGATGAATGTATCAAACCAGTTGCCTTGATAAGTGTTTTGTTGTTGTGCACTATCTTCAAACAATAGCATGGTATTTTTTCGCTGTAATACCTACTGTAAATTGGACACTGCAGTTAGATTAACAATAAATATATGTCCATGAAAATTTGCTTTTGTTTACAATGACATTGTAGTCACATTATCCATATTGAACAACAACTGTCCCGGTTTCGGGACACCCATCCAGTAGAGGTTAACCAGGGTATTTTTCACCACCCTCTCTGGATCTTCACCCTAGATTGCTTTGTTAGTTTGTAGCCCAAACTGTTTGGACACTACAGCTGTACTGACTTCAAATGAGTCCTGTGGCCCAAACCGCCGTTTTTGTGAGAATACAGATTTTCAGGATGTCTCCTGGTCTGACAAACAGCGCTGTAGCTCTGCCACCTTCCACCGCAGATGTGGAAGGACGACATATGCGGATGCTGTGGATTGAGACACAGCCCATATCTTCTAGCTTAAACAGACGGATTTTGTGGGAGATTATTTTATTACGTTTGTCGTGATGTGACTTTAACATTAATCTCAAGACTGTTATCATTAATGAACTAACTATGTTTAATTGTTACCCAATTTAAATTAATCATGTAACAATTAACTCATTAGGATCTGGGGCACCACGAGAGTGGTTCTTCAAAGAGTTACCATCTCCCAAATTAAACTCTAAAAGGTCTTTACCTATCACATCTATAAACAGTCAACTTATTAATCATAGCCTCGTACCATATCATCACTCTGAACGTCGTAACCTCCTTACATCTCCAAAAACCCAAACCTTACTTTTGATTCAGTACTACACAAATTAGTTTAATTATTTATTTACTAGCTAATTAAATGGGAACACAGGATAAACATACACACTCTGCACCAGTTATTGACTGGAGAAAACAGGTCCCTAGCGGAATGACAACAACATGGCTGCTTGTTAACAAGAAGAGATGGAGAGGGAGAGAGAGAAGGACAGAGATAATACTTCGATACATTCAGAAACTACACTCACCTACAGGACCTATATACTTTGCACACGAACCGCTGCCCTCTTTGAGTAAGAAATCCTGAATGTATTTACTTGAAATGTCTGGTTCACCGTGTATCTCTCGGTGGACAGGACCGCCCTGGAAAGGGAGTTGGGCCTTCTACTGTTGTTCTCCTCTGTAGTTGTCCGGTATCCGGTGATGAGAGTAGTGTAACACGATCAGAGTAACAGAGGATGGTCCTACTTAAATTCGCTTTCGAAGATACTTTACTTAGGACAGCTAATCAGCCGTACCAATGATTGTCCGGGAGGTGAGTTTTCCTTCTTCACCTCGTGTTGCAATTCAGAGTTCCAACCACTTTAAACGTGTAGCTCCCGCTTCACGCTTTTCTGGTCTAAATTTGAATTTCTTTACCAATCCTTTTATGCACTCTGGTTGAAAGGGGTGGTTCCGTCAGGCCGACACGCTCTCTGACCTCACTCGGGGCGTGGCTACCTACTGTGCAAAGTTTTGTGTAAAACCATTATCTCTTATGGCTCCTTAAATCACATCCCTATCTTAACAAAAATACTTTCATCGTTTTTCAGATTTCAAGCACAACGCATCGGATGGAAACTTTGTACATGTAGTGGGTATACTTAATAAGTTACAGTATTTCCTTTATAACATTTTTAATGACATCACAAAATAACCAACCAAACAACATTCGTTTTCTATAGATCGCCTCTGACATTCCCCACGTTCTCTGTTAGGAATATTGTTCCAGTATTCGCTTTTGAATTTGTTAATGTTTCAGCGGGGAAAGGCCTCTAGAGACAAAGACCATTCCTTTGTGAATTTGGAGAGGGAGACCCTGGATCTCCTCTCCTTTGACTTACAACAGGGCGTGAGGTGTCAAACCCCCACAGTTCCCTCCTCCCCCTCTCTGTGGGTGAGAGGGGGACTGGTTGAAGTTATTCATTGCAAACCTGATCTGACCTATTTGGATCCTCACAGGACAATCATGACATGTTATTAGATTATTAGATTGACGCTCGGGAATCGACTCTAGGGGGTCCAGTGAAAATCTAAATTTTCAGCTCATACCCAAATAATTTGGTTGACTTGTCCTTTACTTGTAGTTGTGGCCAAAGCATAAATTAGAGAATAGCCACTCAGTAAAACCCCATCTCAAACATGTTTTTGAAACAAACTGTTTCAAAAAGTGCTTCAAATTTGCTTGGAGAATGATGACATTCTTCTTGGCCGAGACAGGCCGTACGTGATTGATCCAGCAACTTATTCATTTTTTTCCCAATTTCTCTGGTGGTGAGAAGGACTAGGTTAGACATGGGCACATGAGTCTGCACAAGCTGGGGAAGCGGGATGAGTCACAAGATAGCGGGTATGCCCTAATGGTTGTTGGACTTGGAGATGGAGTCAGGGGAACCGATTGAGTTCAGTAAGAAGGCGGGCAGGAAAAAAGGAAGAAAGTGGAACATACTTTATTAAAAGTAAATATGGAGTGCTGCAGAAGGAAATTGAACATTAATTAATTGCACTCTGGAGTGCTCTGGAGCAGGTTTTGATCAAGGATCTCTCTGTACTTTGCTCTGTTCATCTTTCCCCACAGCATGATGCTGACATTATCATGCTTCACTGTAGGGATGGTATTGGCAAGGTGATGAGCGGTGCCTGGTTTCCTCTAGACATTACACTTGGCATTCAGGCCAAAGAGTTCAATCTTGGTTTCATCAGACCAGAGAATCTTGCTTCTCATGTTCTGAGAGTCCTTTAGGTGCCTTTTGGCAAACTCCAAGCGGGCTGTCATGTGCCTTTTACTGAGGAGTGGCTTCCATCTGGCCACACTACCATAAAGGCCTGATTGGTGGAGTGCTGCAGAGATGGTGGTCCTTCTGGAAGGTTCTCCTATCTCCACAGAGGAACTCTGGCGCTCTATCAGAGTGACCATCGGGTTCTTGGTCACCTCCCTGACCAAGGCTCTTCACCCCCAATTGCTCAGTTTGGCCGGGCGGCCAGCTCTAGGAAGAGTCTTGGTGGTCCCAAACGTCTTCCATCGACACAATCCTTTCTTGCAGCTTTACGGACAATTCCATTGACCTCATGGCTTGGTTTTTGCTCTGACATGCACTGTCAACTGTGGGACCTTATATAGACAGGTGTGTACCTTTCCAAATCATGTCCAATCAATTGAATTTACCACAGGTGGACTTAGGGCTGTGGCGGTCACGAAATGTAGTCAGCCGGTGATTGTCAAGCAAATAACTGTCGGTCTCACGTTAATTTACCGTTTAATTAACATAAACACATTTAGCATCTCCTGGCCTCCACACATAGCCTACAGCCATTTTAAAAAGTCTAAAAATCCATGTAATATAGCCTATATCTTCACAATAAATCCATTATTTACTGTAGAAAGGTCTAAAGAAGCATGATATGAAGGAAATGTAGTCTTTTTCAGAAGAAAATAATAGTCCTTATGTTAGGTCCTGATGTGGCAATGCCAAATGGCTGTGGGCTACACTAGTTAATTTCGCAGACAAGATTTGCTTAGAATTCCATGGCATTATTTTATATTATTTTGCAGTATGAAGAATACAATTGAACAAACCTGAATAAAATATAAATATTTTCTCCAAACAATTTGAAGGAGTGCGCACATGCGGCTATTATGTGTTGAGCGGTTAACAAATAAATGGGTTCTCCTATATGCTTAATTTAGAGTTAATAATGTAACTTTAGTTATTCGATAAACGTTGGGCTATATGTTTTTATTTTTAATACATTGTAAGGCTGCATGATGAGACTCTAATGATGATTTGAAAAAAGTTGCTTGAAAGGTTTGAGCTCTGCTTAGTTTTTTTTGCGCAGGCTGTACACACTCCAATAGTCTCTCATTCACAATTTGACAAGCACTTGATAATGCCTCCAATTTCACAGCAGCATCCCCTTTGTGGCCGTAATGCACCCTAAAAAAATCCATGCCTTTTGCGGCCCTGAGTGCTGCATTGTGCCTTTTCTCCCTGAGTGTGCTGCGCAATCCGAAGCAACTCTCACTCACATGGCTCTCAGTCATGTGATCGGGTCTTTCTCATAGGCTACAAGTGTAGACAGACACATCGGGGACGCAACTGCGTGCGCCTTATCCAATTCCGATGTGCATATTGAAGATATTGGAAGAACAGTCCACATGTACTTTTCGTCAGCCAACAAGATGAGTAGGCCTAACGAACAGCAAAAGCATTAGCCTATGTCAATCTACTATCCCCCATAGTACAAAAGTCAACCTATTCTGTGCGATAAATAAATATTCCAAACGTAGTCTGGGACAGTTGTGGGATGCGATAGATCCCAAATTAATACAACCACTAGCATCAAAAAACATTTTGTATGCAATGTGGCTGACGCAACAGATCAGAACGTTTAGCTTAAAATGTTGATAAACTATTAGGCTATTTCTTCACATTATAAGCGCAGCAATGCGCACATGGTAGTAGGCTATAAGCGCGAATGTTCCATTAGCGGAAAACACCATTATTAAAAAATACTTTATATAATATATATGTGACAATTGTTTTGATTTAGAATGGTCCATTATCACGCACCTGTATCGAAACATGTAATCTATGCACTTAAATGGCGAATGGATGACGCTTTTCCCCATGGTTTATTTTCATGCCAGCCAGGTAGGCTATACTCCTGTTGTAAATATAAGCAATGTGCTTAATATTAGGAAAGTTGAGAAATAAATATAGTAGGGCTAGCCTATAGAAAGCTGATGGGACCCTCCTCTTATTATTAGCGGCCTCCCAAAATTGCATAGCCTATAGAAATGTTGCGCAACATGAGCTCATGGGCTCTCATAAAGTGTTTGATTTGATTTTCGAATACACTTGCATTGATGTCAGAGTGATTAGAGGGACAATAGAGTACTGAGTACCAGGCAGTTAGCAAGTTTGGTAGGCTACTAATGACCAGCAGCAGTATCAGAGCTTGGAGAAGCCTACTTACCGTGACTAAATGGTCATGTGGAATTGGACTGCCTTCGTGACTTGTGACCGTCGGTGTGGCGGTAATACGGTCACCACAACAGCCCTAGGTGGACTCCAATCAAGTTGTAGAAACATCTCAAGGATGATCAATGGAAACAGGATGCACCTGAGCTCAATTTTGAGTCTCATAGCAAAGGGTCAGAATACTTATGTAAATAAGGTATCTTATTTTTAACACATTTGCAAAAATGTCTAAAAAACTGTTTTCGCTTTGTCATTATGGGGTATTGTGTGATTGATGAGGGAAAAAATGTACGGCTGTATCGTAACAAAATGTGTAAAAAGTCAAGGGGTCTGAATACTTTCCAAATGCTTATATAGTGCCAAACATAAGGGGTTAAATAAATGTAAAAAATTAATAACTAATACATACTGATCTTTCGTATATCTCTCAGATATAGGACAGACACCTCAGATCAAACTTCCTTTAGATTTTTTGGGGACTATCTGTTGTTCCATGTAGTGAATCTGTTATTCAATGCGTGTGCATGGGCAAATAGCAGTAAGGCCAAAAATATTTTTTCATCACTTTTTTTCATCACTATTTTCTGATACTTCAACGGGTCTTAAAATTCAAAATCAATAGCAAAATGATCCTTGGTATGACCTTCTTAAAATAATTCCATATAGCTTAGTAGTGATGTTTTTGCAAATAATATCAGCGACCACTGCCCTATTGCTTGCATTAGAGATACCAAATTTAATAACTCTGACCCTCGTATAATTGTGAAGATATATTTTTGGAAAATTCTCGCCCCAGGCGTTCCTTCATGATACATATTATTCAGAGCTTTTTTCTACTAGCTGCATACCAGACCCTATTTTGGCACTTGAATTTTTTTCAACAATTTTACTTCTCTGGCTGATAAACATACACCTTTCCAGCGACACAAAGTCAAAAAAACTAACTAACCCATGGTACTCTCCTGTACTCTCAGACCTCCTCTTGATAAGAAATCAAGCCTTGGCCAAGGCTAGACAAAATGGCTCGTTAGCTGATTGGCAGCTATTTAGGCAATTGAGAAATAGGTGCAGTGCCTCGGTTAAACTGGGCAAATCGCCCCTCATTGCTGGCTCAATATCACACATTTTTTATTTAACTTCAGTATCAGGAAATATTCCAAAAGTGTAGAAAGCAGCTTTTGTGCTACCACTCCATAAGGGCGGGGATAGTATTGATCTTGATAATTATCGACCCATTTCCAGACCCATTTCCAATACTAGTCATTGGTCAACAAACAGCTACGTTATTTTCTATCTGTAAATTGTATTCTTAATGTTAATCAATCCAGATTCAGACCTAAATATAGTACCACTATGGCTACCATGAAAATGGTATTGCAAATGCCTTGAGATGATAGAAAGAATTGTGCTGCCATGTTTGTAGACTTGCCAAAGGCTTTTTATACTGTAGACCATGTTATTCTGTTGAATAAGCTTTCCTCGATAGGCTTGGGTACTGATGCTTGTGATGGTTTCATAATTATCTAAACGACAAAACTCAGGCCATCAAGGTAGATGGGGTCAAATCTGAGTTCCTTGAGTTACATAAATGAGTACCCCAAGGTTCAATACTCGGCCCACTACTGTTTACAATCTATATAAATAAACAAAACATAAAGTCAAAAATACAAACATATTTTATAAACAGTGTGTGCTAATGTAGTAAGTTATGGAGGTAAGGCAATAAATAGGCCATAGTGCAAAATAGTTACAATTTCGTATTAACACTGGAATGATAGATGTGCAAAAGATGATGTGCAAATAGAGATACTGGGGCGCAAATTAGCAAAATAAATAACAATATGGGGATGAGGTAGTTGGGTGGGCTAATTTCAGAATGGCTGTGTACAGGTGCAGTGATCGGTAAGCTGCTCTGACAACTGACGCTCAAAGTTAGTGAGGGAGATAAGAGTCTCCAGCTTCAGAGATTTTTGCAGTTCGTTCCAGTCATTGGCAGCAGAGAACCGGAAGTTACGGCGGCCAAAGGAGGTGTTGGCTTTGGGGATGACCAGTGAGATATACCTGCTGGAGCGCAGACTACGGGTGGGTGTTGCTATGGTGACCAGTGAGCTAAGGTAAGACAGGGATTTGCCAAGCAGTGATTTATAGATGACCTGGAGCCAGTGGGTTTGGCAACGAATATGTAGTGAGGGCCTGCCAACAAGAGCGTACAGGTCACAATGGTGGGTAGTATATGGGGCTTTGGTGACAAAACGGATGGCACTGTGATAGACTACATCCAATTTGCTGAGTAGTGTGTTGGAGGCTATTTTGTAAATGACATCGCCAAAGTCAAGGATCGGTAGTATAGTCAGTTTTACGAGGGCATGTTTGGCAGCATGAGTGAAGGAGGCTTTGTTGCGAAATAGGAAGCCGATTCTAGATCTAACTTTTGATTGGAGATGCTTAATGTGAGTCTGGAAGGAGAGTTTACAGTCTACCCAGATAGGTAGTTGTCCACATACTCTAGGTCAGACCCGCCGAGAGTAGTGATTCTAGTCGGGTGGGCGGGTGCAAGCAGCGTTCGGTTGAAGAGCATGCATTTAGTTTTACTAGTGTTTAAGAGCAGTTGGAGGCTACGGAAGGAGTGTTGTATGGCGTTGAAGCTCGTTTGGAGGTTTGTTAACAGTGTCCAATGAAGGGCCAGATGTATACAAAATGGTGTCGTCCGCATAGAGGTGGATCCGAGCTTCACCAGCAGCAAGACGAACATCATTGATATACACAGAGAATAGAGTCGGCCCGAGAATTGAACCCTGTGGCACCCCCATAGAGACGGCCAGAGGTCCAGACAACAGGCCCTCCGATTTGACACGTTGAACTCTATCTGAGAAGTAGTTGGTGAACCAGGTGAGGGATATTATCTATATGCATGCAGCAGCATCTACACATAAACCACTAGATGCTGTTTTTTACATTGTGCCCTTAGGTTTATTACTGGTGATGGTTATCAAACTCACCATTGTGTTTTGTATGAAAAAGTGGGTTAGGCCTCTTTGTATGTAAGGAGAGAGCAGCATTTTCTATCTACAAAGCACTCATGCAGAAACATCCTATGTATCTATTATCATTAATTCAATTTAGACTTACAAATGACCAAACCCGGTCTCAGGCTTGGGTAACACTGCTTTTAGTTTTTTTGTGCCCTTTATGTAGAACAACTTACAGAGCTCTCTGAAATTAGATGTTCTGGTCCCCCTTGGTCAGTTCAGAGTAATGACCGGAGACCTCTATGTTGATAAATGTGTCTGTTTTTCTGAATATAATTTGTAATTTTCTATATTGTATGTGTTTGTTGTATTTATGCAGGGCTCATATGTAAAAGAGACCCTAGTCTCAGTATAACTTCCCTTTCAAAATGAAGGTTAAATAAAAGTGTGCAGGAGGAAAAAGTTGTGTGTGTAAACTGTAGGGATACCCATGGTGCTGGAGATCAGAGGTGTCCGGTGAGAGAAATGCAGGTTGAGGTTGCCAGGATCAGAGCAGTGCAGAAGGTGTCGTATGCTCAGGCAGTGGAGAGAGTAGTAGAGGAAGATGGTTCCAGGGTGAGGGATCCTAAAATAATGCCTGTGAGAAGGCCGAAGTCAATAGAGAATGATTGGAATAACTTGCTTCAGTAAGTGTAACGCAGGAATGGAATGTACTGTAAATCACAAAGGATAGATGTGGTGGCAGATGCAGAGAAGTACTTGGGTGTACGAGATTTTACTGCAGAAGAGTTACAAGGTGTTTTGAATGATAGTGTCCCTTCCTCCCAGGCTACTGGCTTGGTATAGGATCACATAGGGCCAAAGTAGTGGAATACTAGTGATGAGGTTTTAATGGGTGTAGGGTTAGTTGGTAGGGGAATTTTTTCACAAAGTGTAATGAATTCCTATTACAGAATAGTAGGCTGATACACAGTCAATACAGTATGTGGCGGCATGCACCTATAACATTTGTTTGCGGACCGCCATAATACCAAAGAAAAAGAAGTGCACACAAGCTAGCTAGCAAGCCAAGCGATCCACAACTCGTGTTAGCAAAAAGGACAAAGCCTATACAACAGGGATCATCAACTAGATTCAGACGCGAGCCAATTTCTTCTTGAGCGGATGGTCGGGGGGCTGGAACATAATAAAACAAATTAGATTAGATTGCAAATTGACTTCAAGAAGCCTAAACATATATAATTTTGACTAAAACATAATCATTTCAAACCTTGATTACGTTTGGGGACATTGCCCTGCGTAGGGTGGCGTCTTTCGGATGGAACGTTAAAATGGGTGTCCTGACTCTCTGTGATCATTCAAAATCCCATGGCACTTATTGTAAGAGTAGGGATGTTCACCCCGGTGTCATGGCTAAATTCCCAACCTGGCCACATTCCATCATGGCCACCTAATCATCCCCCTCATTCCTAATTGGCATATATCACTCCTTACCTCTCCACCTGATAGCTGAGCGTTCTGGCACAAAGATTACCGCCGTGCAATTATAAGTGATACATTCACAGCAGACCGTAAAGACCTTGTAGAGGCAGCTAAGAAATAAAGCATATTTTTCTTATAGACCCTTTTCCAGTACACGAGACACTGATGTCACGAACTGATGTGCGCGACTCTTGGCGGCAGTAAGAAAGCCGTCGCCATCTGCACCCATTCAATTTAGCCTAGATTTAAGTTTTTATTACATTCTAAACAAAATAACGTTTTTGGGTTCTCATACACTTACAATGATGTTTTGATTCTTGCTTGAACAGTCGCTAAGATTATATTTGGTTGTGATCTTAGCAAAATAACTATTTTGGATGTAGCAGTTGTTAGCTGGAATGCTAACTCTCATTGATACAGGCTGTAGCAAATGCTAGCCAAAGAGCCATTTTACTGGCTGAAGTGTTTTTAAGGTATAATGCAGTTGATTTGTGATGATGACACAAACATTATATTAAGCAGGAAATTCATACAAGCCTTAAAATCCAATTATAATCCAAAAGTAGTGTGAAATGCACTCATAAGCAACATGTAAATAGAGCCTTTTTTTGCTACCGTTTTACAAGAACTCCCCCTTGTTCTGCCGTGCGACAATGTTTGCAAACACAGAAAGGGGTCTATTAATTCCAGAGATCAGTCTCAAACCTGCCCCACGCTAATTGCTGGACTTTCACATAGAGGTTACTAGGTCACACCCATTTCAAACCACATTTGAAAAAAAAAAATGTGGCTTGTTTATCAAGTGTTCTGCCTTGCAATAATAAATAAACTCAGCAAAAAAGTAACATCCCTTTTTCAGGACCCTGTCTTTCAAAGATAATTTGTAAACATCCAAATAACTTCACAGATCTTTAAAGGGTTTAAACACTGTTTCCCATGCTTGTTCAATGAACCATAAACATTTAATGAACATGCACCTGTGGAACGGTCGTTAAGACACTAACAGCTTACAGACGGTAGGTAATTAAGGTCACAGTTATGAAACTTAGGACACTAAAGAGGCCTTTCTATTGACTCAGAAAAACACCCAAAAAAGATGCCCAGGGTCCCTGCTCATCTGCGTGAACGTGCCTTAGGCATGCTGCAAGGAGGCATGAGGACTGCAGATGTGGCCAGGGCAATAAATTGCAATGTCCGTACTGTGAGATGCCTAAGACAGCGCTACAGGGAGACAGGATGGACAGCTGAGTGTCCTCGCAGTGGCAGACCACGTGTAACAACACCTGCACAGGATCGGTACATCCGAACATCACACCTGCAGGACAGGTACAGGATGGCAACAACAACTGCCCGAGTTACACCAGGAATGCACAATCCCTCCATCAGTGCTCAGACCGTCCGTAATAGGCTGAGAGAGGGCTTGTAGGCCTGTTGTAAGGCAGGTCCTCACCAGACATCACCAGTAACAACGTTGCCTATGGGCACAAACCCACCATCGCTGGACCAGACAGGACTGGCAAAAAGTGCTCTTCACTGACGAGTCGCAGTTTTGTCTTACCAGGGGTAATGGTCGGATTCGCGTTTATCGTCAAAGGAATGAGCATTACACCGAGGCCTGTACTCTGGAGCGGGATCGATTTGGAGGTGGAGGGTCCGTCATGGTTTGGGGTGGTGTGTCACAGCATCATCGGACTGAGCTTGTCATTGCAGGCAATCTCAACGCTGTGCGTTACAGGGAAGACATTCCTCCTCCCTCATGTGGTACCCTTCCTGCAGGCTCATCCTGACATGACCCTCCAGCATGACAATGCCACCAGCCATACTGCTCGTTCTTTGCGTGATTTCCTGCAAGACAGGAATGTCAGTGTTCTGCCATGGCCAGCGAAGAGCCCTGATCTCAATCCCATTGAGCACGTCTGGGACCTGTTGGATCGGAGGGTGAGGGCTAGGGCCATTTCCCCCAGAAATGTCCGGGAACTTGCAGGTGCATTGGTGGAAGAGTGGGGTAACATCTCACAGCAAGAACTGGCAAATCTGTTGCAGTCCATGAGGAGGAGATGCACTGCAGTACTTAATGCAGCTGGTGGCCACACCAGATACTGACTGTTACTTTTGATTTTGACCCCCCCTTTGTTCAGGGACACATTATTCAATTTCTGTTAGTCACATGTCTGTGGAACTTGTTCAGTTTATGTCTCAGTTGTTGAATCTTATAATGTTCATAAAAATATTTACTCATGTTAAGTTTGCTGAAAATAAACGCAGTTGACAGTGAGAGGACATTTCTTTTTTTGCTGATTTACCTCAAAATAACTAATAATTTAAAACAGCAAATACTTACCTAGGTTTTGATTAAAACAAAAACAAGAACATGCAATTTAGTACGTTAATGGTATTTACTAACATAATATAATTGTGTTGTAGGCTACTTTACCCTAGAATTGGGGTTATGGCTAGGGTTACTGTCTGTTCAGGGTTACAGATACGGTTAGGGTTAAGGCTAAAATAGGTTATACCTAACTTTTTTAAGGGATATACCTAGGGTTAGGTTAGCGGAAGGTTTCGGTTTCTATTTTTTTCGGCAAAAAACAGTATGTGTTTATACCTCTTTTGCTCTCTTGCTCCTCCCCGTGGCCATCTGTGGGTACTACATACTTCATTCACGATACTCACTGGGTTCATAATCTGACGTAGCAACTGCGTCAGAATTACAAATCAATGAGCTAGACCCACCCATTTGGTTTGCAACTCAGTGAACCTGCATAGCATATGGTCAATTTGATGCCTACAAATGAACAGATTTCGATGCATATCAAATTACCCAGCAGCCATTTAGAAACAACAAAAATCATCAAACAAAATGTTTTTTCTTTATTAAAAATTGTATTCTGCCAGTTTAAATGGGCAACATCTTGAAAAAGAGGACAGGGACACGGGTTCAGTTTAGGTTTTACACCTTCTCCTGGAAAAATATGGTAAACCATGACCAGAAAATGTTTCATTTTTGAAGGGTAGGAGCCAGCCATCTCTGCCACTGTGGGTTACCACAATGTGTACCCAGGTGGCACTAAGTAGCTGTGTTAATATTAAGTTACCTGAGATAAGCCTTCAAGGTTTATGTGGGTAAATCTCATTGCTAACAATAGCGAAGCTGGCATTATGATGCAGAACAATGGACTGGGAATAGAACATTTGGAATATGAGTTGGTGCCTGTGCTCAATAGAACTCATATGAGCTGGCAGGGTGAAAAATGTCCTAAAATAAGGCCTGTTTTTTTGTGATTACTTCAAAACTATGGCAAGCAGCTGGGACATATGGTAATATTATGAAACTTGGCTCCATGGTGGATGGAATTAACTAGTTCTTATCAGAAAAAAGCGTTGTTAAAAATGTCATGTGTCAAGCCTAATATAGGTAGAAGCAGCTAACTAGCTTAGCTGCTAGCAATCCCTACTAGCTAGCTAACAACCACATCATGAATAGTGACAAAGCCATGGACAGAAATGACTCATGCTTGTGAAATAATCAGTGCATGTATTACTGTTATAGTAAAGTGCCCTAGTAGTTCCATTGAGATTGGGAGAAATCTGTCCATAATAAAGCGCTACCTTCTTAACAGCACTATCAACAAGGCAGGTCCTACAGGCCATAGTTTTGTCGCACCTGGACTACTGTTCAGTCGTGTGGTCAGGTGACACAAAGAGGGACAATTGCAATTGGCTCAGAACAGGGCAGCACGGCTGGCCCTTGGATGTACACAGAGAGGAAACATTAATAATATACATGTCAATCTCTGCTGGCTGAAAGTGGGGGAGAGATTGACATCATCACTGCTTGTGTTTATGAGAGGTGTTGACATGTTGAAAGCACAGAGCAGTCTGTTTGAACGACTGGCACACAGCCCAGACACCCTCTTCACAGTCCCCAAGTTCAGAACAGACTATGGGAGGCGCACAGTACTACATAGAGCAATGACTACATGGAACTCTATTCCACATCAGGAAACTGATGCAAGCAGTAGAATCAGATTTTTTTTTTAACAGTTAAAAATACACCTTATGGAACAGCGGTTACTGTGAAGCAACACAAACATAGGCAAACATATAATCAAATTGTATTTGTCACATACACATGTTTAGCAGATGTTATTGCGGGTGTAGCGAAATGCTTGCGCTTCTAGCTCCGACAGTGCAGTAATATCGAACATGTAATATCTAACAATTTCACAACATATACCCAATACACACAAACTAGTAAGGAATGGGAATTTAAGATATATACAGATTGGACAAGCCATGACAGCGGCCATGGACTAAGAGACAGTAAATATTGTAGAATCGCATGGCTATATATATAAGGCAGCAGCAGCCTCTAATGTTCTCGTGTGCTAAATTTAACAGTCTGATGGCCTTGAGAGAGACGCTGTTTTTTCATTCTCTCCGGTCCACCCATCTTTGGGATGCACCTGACTGACCTCCCGCCTTCTGGATGATCGCGGGATGAACAGGCAGTGGCTCGGGTTGGTTTGATGTCCTTGATGATCTTTTTTGGCCTTCCTTGACTTAAATCGGGGTGCTGTATTTGTCTTGAGGTCGGGTAGTTTTGCCCCCGGTAATGCGTTCTTCCAGACTGCACCACCCGCTTGAGAGCCCTGCGGTGGTGGGGCGGTGCCCGTTCCAGTACCGGCGGGTGCACAGCCCGACAGGATGCTCTCAATTGTGCATCTGTAAAAGTTTGTGAGGGTTTTAGTTGCTAAGCCGAATTTCTTCAGCCTCCTGAGGTTGAAGAGGGTCTGTTGCGCCTTCTTCACCACACTGTCTGCGTGGGTGGACCATTTCAGTTTGTCGGTGACATGTACGCCAAGGAATTTGAAGCTTTCCACCTTCTCCACTGCGGTCCCGTCGATGTGGATAGGGGGGTGCACCCTCTGCTGTTTCCTGAAGTCCACGATCATCTCCTTTGTTTTGTTAATGTTGAGTGAGAGATTATTTTCCAGGCACCACACTCCCAGAGCCCTCATCTCCTCCCTGTAGGCTGTCCCGTCATTGTTGGTAATCAAGCCTACGACTGTTGTGTCGTCTGAAAACTTGATGATTGAGTTGGAGGAGTGCTTGGCCACGCAGTCATGGGTGAACAGGGAGTACAGGAGGGGGCTGAGCACGCACCCTTGTGGGGCCCCAGTGTTGAGCGGCCCATCAGGAAATCCAGGACCCAGTTGCACAGGGCGGGGTTCAGACCCAGGGCCTCGAGCTTAATGATGAGCTTGGAGGGCACTATGGTGTTGAATGCTGAGCTATAGTCAATGAACAGCATTCTTACATAGGTATTCCTCGTGTCCAGATGGGATAGGGCAGTGTGCAGTGTGATGGCGATTGCATCGTCTGTGGGAAAGGGAGAGATTGAATATGTCCATGAACACACCAGCCAGCTGGTCTACACATGCTCTGAGGACGCGGTTAGGGATGCCGTCTGGGCCGGCAGCCTTGCGGGGGTTAACATGCTTAAATGTCTTAATCACGTCGGCCATGGAGAAGGAGAGGCCACAGTCCTTGGTAGTGGGCCTCGTCAGTGGCACTGTGTTGTCCTCAAAGCGGGCGAAGAAGGTATTTAGCTTGTCTGGAAGCAAGACGTCGGTGTTGGCGACGTGGCTGGTTTTCCTTTTGTAGTCCGTGATTGTCTGTAGACCCTGCCATATACATCTTGTGTCTGAGCCGTTGAATTGCGACTCCACTTTGTCTCTATACTGATTATTTGCCAGTTGAATTTCCTTGAGTGAGTAGTACTACAGATGGATGTACATGTGTTGTAGATAGGTGGTAGTGGAGAAGGGGCCTGAGGTCACACACAATGTATGCGCACATGACTGTAAGTCGCTTTGGATAAAAGCGTCTGCTAAATGGCATATTATATTATTATAGTGTGTTGTGAAATTGTAATGTTTTTAAAATGGTATAACTGCCTTAATTTTGCCGGTCTCCATTAGCCACGGCAGCAGCTAATGGGGATCTATAATAAATACAAATACATTGTGCGTTTCCAAATCCTGAATCCATCCATAGTATTTCTATTTGACTTGGTTTGCTGCAGCCTTCCTGGCGGGCAGTCTGGATATCCAAGTGTATGTGCTAAGCATTGGCTGAGCTGGCAAATCAGCTGTTTTTGACCGGTATACACCAAAACCACTCTGATGTTTCCTAACAGGCCGAGAAGGGTCACAGAGAAAAGCTGCTTTTTAACATCCATAAATATAATTTTTTATTCATATTGTAATTCATTTTAGGTATTCTCTATATACAGTATTTCAATAAAGAGCTATTAGCAGCATCATTTAGCGGATTTAGTTGATTTTGAGTTCTCAAACCAGTGAGCATGCCAACATTCGTCATCAATTGCTATTTGGAGTTATTTACAATGAAAGAGGTGGGAATTTGTTCCCTTGTCATATAATTGCTACAGTCATTATGAATACAGCATTAAAAATAGTTTAAAAATAGTAAACATTTTGGTCCTGAGGCAAAACCAGTTGAGAACAACTGGTTTGACAAACATCCATCTGTAGTACTAGTCTTTTAATATTTTACATTTACTGATAGAACTGACTCTAAATCTAACCGCCAAGATATGTTATGTACAGTGAGGGAAAAAAGTATTTGATCCCCTGCTGATTTTGTACGTTTGCCCACTGACAAAGAAATGATCAGTCTATAATTTTAATGGTAGGTTTATTTGAACAGTGAGAGACAGAATAACAACCAAAAAAAATCCAGAAAAACGCATGTCAAAAATGTTATAAATTGATTTGCATTTTAATGAGGGAAATAAGTATTTGACCCCCTCTCAATCAGAAAGATTTCTGGCTCCTAGGTGTCTTCTATACAGGTAACGAGCTGAGATTAGGAGCACACTCTTAAAGGGAGTGCTCCTAATCTCAGCTTGTTACCTGTATAAAAGACACCTGTCCACAGAAGCAATCAATCAATCAGATTCCAAACTCTCCATCATGGCCAAGACCAAAGAGCTCTCCAAGGATGTTAGGGACAAGATATTAGACCTACACAAGGCTGGAATGGGCTACAAGACCATCGCCAAGCAGCTTGGTGAGAAGGTGACAACAGTTGGTGCGATTATTCGCAAATGGAAGAAACACAAAATAACTGTCAATCTCCCTCGGCCTGGGGCTCCATGCAAGATCTCACCTCATGGAGTTGCAATGATCATGAGAACGGTTATGAATCAGTCCAGAACTACACGGGAGGATCTTGTCAATGATCTCAAGGCAGCTGGGACCATAGTCACCAAGAAAACAATTGGTTACACACTACGCCGTGAAGGACTGAAATCCTGCAGCGCCTGCAAGGTCCCCCTGCTCAAGAAAGCACGTATACAGGCCCGTCTGAAGTTTGTCAATGAACATCTGAATGATTCAGAGGAGAACTGGGTGAAAGTGTTGTGGTCAGATGAGACCAAAATCGAGCTCTTTGGCATCAACTCAACTCGTCGTGTTTGGAGGAGGAGGAATGCTGCCTATGACCCTAAGAACACCATCCCCACCGTCAAACATGGAGGTGGAAACATTATGCTTTGGGGTTGTTTTTCTGGTAAGGGGACAGGACAACTTCACCGCATCAAAGGGACGATGGACTGGGCCATGTACTGTCAAATCTTGGGTGAGAACCTCCTTCCCTCAGCCAGGGCATTAAAAATGGGTCGTGGATGGGTATTCCAGCATGACAATGACCCAAAACACACGGCCAAGGCAACAAAGGAGTGGCTCAAGAAGAAGCACATGAAGGTCCTGGAGTGGCCTAGCCAGTCTCCAGACATTAATCCCATAGAAAATCTGGGGAGGGAGCTGAAGGTTCGAGTTGCCAAACATCCGCTTCGAAACCTTAATGACTTGGAGAAGATCTGCAAAGAGGAGTGGGACAAAATCCCTCCTGAGATGTGTGCAAACCTGGTTGGCAACTACAAGAAACGTCTGACCTCTGTGATTGCCAACAAGGGTTTTGCCACCAAGTACTAAGTCATGTTTTGCAGAGGGGTCAAATACTTATTTCCCTCATTAAAATGCAAATACATTTATAACATTTTTGACATGCGTTTTTCTGGATTTTTTTGTTGTTATTCTGTCTCTCACTGTTCAAATAAAACTAACATTACAATTATAGACTGATCATGTCTTTGTCAGTGGGCAAACGTACAAAATCAGCAGGGGATCAAATAATTTTTTCCCTCACTGTATGTCCATTACATGAAATCCAAATAGAAAAAATCAGTTTAAATTACAGGTTGTAATGCAACAAAATAGGAAAAACGCCAAGGGGAATGAATACTTTTGCAAGGCGCACACACACACACACACACACACACACACACACACACACACACACACACACACACACACACACACACACACACACACACACACACACACACACACACACAGTACCAGTCAAAGGTTTGGATACACCTACTCATTCCAGGGTTTTTACATTTACATCATTTAGCAGACGCTCTTATCCAGAGCAACTTACAAATTGGTGCATTCAACTTATGCTAGCCAGTGGGACAACCACTTTTTTTTTTTTTCTTTTTTTTGTGTGGGGGAGAGGAGGTAGAAGGATTACTTTATATATTTTTCTTTATTTTTACTTTTTTCTACATTGTAGAATAATAGTGAAGACATCAAAACTATGAAATAACACATATGAAATCATGTAGTAACCAATAAAGTGTTAAACAAATCAAAATATAGTTTATATTTGAGATTCTTCAAATAGCCACCCTTTGCCTTGATGACAGCTTTACACACTCTTGGCATTCTCTCAACCAGCTTCACCTGGAATGCTTTTCCTACAGGTTTGAAGGAGTTCCCACATATTCTGAGAACTTGTTGGCTTCTTTTCCTTCACTCTGCCGTCCACCTCATCCCAAACCGTCTCAATTGGGTTGAGGTCGGGGGATTGTGGTGGCCATGTCATCTGATGCAGCACTCCATCACTCTCCTTCGTGGTCAAATAGCCCTTACACAGCCTGGAGGTGTGTTAGGTCCTTGTCCTGTTGAAAAACAAATGATAGTCCCACTAAGTCCAAACCAGATGGGATGGTGTATTGCTGCAAAAATGCTCTGGTGGCCATGCTGGTTAAGTGTCACCAGCAAAGCACCATAACACCTCCTCCTCCATGTTTTACGGTGGGAACTACACATGCGGAGATCATCCGTTCACCGACACCGCGTCTCACAAAGACTCGGCGGTTGGAACCAAAAATCTCAAATGTTTCTCCAGACCAAAGGACAGACTTCCACTGGTCTAATGTCCATTGCTCGTGTTTCTTGTCCCAAGCTGTTGTAGTGGTTTCTTTGCAGCAATTCGACCATGAAGGCCTGATTCACACAGTCCCCTCTGAACAGTTGATGTTGAGATGTGTCTGTGACTTGAACTCTGTGAAGCATTTATTTGGGCTGCAATTTCTGAGGCTGGTAACTCTAATTAACTTATCCTCTGTAGCAGAGGTAACTCTGGGTCTTCCTTTCCTGTTGCGGTCCTCATGAGAGCCAGTTTAAGGCATAGCGCTTGATGGTTTCTACGACTACACTTGAAGAAACTTTCAAAGTTCTTGAAATGTTCCCGAATTGACTGACCTTCATGTCTTAAAGTAATGATGGACTGTCGTTTCTCTTTGCTTATTTGAGCTGTTCTTGCCATTATATGGACTTGGTCTTTTACCAAATAGGGCTATATTCTGTATACCCCCCCCTACCTTGTCACAACACAACTGATTGGCTCAAACGCATTAAGAAAATCCATAAATTAACTTTTAAGAAAGCACACCTGTTAATGGAAATCATTCCTGGTGACTACCTCATGAAGTTGGTTGAGAGAATGCCAAGAGTGGGCAAAGCTGTCATCAAGGCAAAGGGTGGCTATTTGAAGAATCTCAAACATAAAATATATTTTGATTTGTTTAACACTTTTTTTGGTTACTACATGATTCCATATGTGTTATTTCATAGTGTTGATGTCTTCACTATTATTCTACAATGTAAGAAATAGTAAAAATAATGAAAAACCCTTGAATGAGTAGGTGTGCCCAAACTTTTGACTTGTAGTGTATATATAATCAAATTATGAATGTGAAACAGTCAGAATTTCACATTTTTTAAGGGTGTATTTTCACGCATATCTGTTTGACCGTTTAAAAATAAAAGCAATTTTTCTAGCCATGTTGTCTCTTAACATCATTGCTGTTGTTTTTCTGTCTGTGATCCCAGGTGCCCAGGGTGTTGGTTAATGTTCTGGAGATCTTACAGATTGATGGCCTCCGCAGGATCAAGAGGAACAGTATAGGCTGCAGCCTTTTACAAAAGTATGCATGTTCATCAGTTAACCTGTCAATCTATTGTCAATAACATTGAAGTTTACTCTGTTATTCAGTCGATTAGCCTATTGTTATATTTGCATATTTGTTGTGGATTATACTACTGTATATCACAAATTAACTAACGATTGCACCCAAATGGCGTCAGAGGGGATGGCTGCCGTTTTACGGGCTCCTAACCAATTGTGCTATTGTGTGTTTTTTTCGCGTAATTTGTAAAGTATTTTGTACATAATGTTTCTGCCACCGTCTCTTCTGACCGAAAAGAGCTTCTAGATATCAGAACAGCGATTACTCACCTCGTACTGGACAAAGATTTTTTCTTTAACGAGTCGGACACGAAGGATTTACTTCAGACACCCGACATGGCCCAAATCCCTGTCATTCGCATGAAGAAGAGACAGAGATATCGAGGAATTAGGTTGGGGTGCCTTGTAAGGATCCGACGGCGAGTGGATAATCTGCCTCTACCATCAGTCCTATTAGCCAACATACAATCATTGGATAATAAAATGGACGAGCTACGATCAAGACTATCCTAACAACGGGACATTAAAAACAGTAATATCTTATGTTTCACAGAGTCTTTGCTGAATGACGATATTGAAAACATACAGCTGGCTGGGTTTTCGGTGTATCGGCAAGATAGAAAGGCTACCTCCGGTAAGACAATGGTTGGCAGTCTGTGTATATTTGTAGATAACAGCTGATGCACAAAATCAAATTTTAAGGAAGTCTCGAGGTTTTGCTCGCCTGAGGTAGAGTATCTGATGATAAGCTGTAGACCACACTATTTATCAAGAGAGTTTTCATCTATATTTTTCGTAGCTGTCTATTTACCACCACAAACCGATGCTGGCACTAAGATCGCACTCAACAAGCTGTATAAGGCCATAAGCAAACACGAAAATGCTCATCCAGAGGCGATGCTCCTAGTGGCCAGGGACTTTAATGCAGGGAAACTTAAATTTGTTGTACCTAATTTCTACCAGCATGTTAAATGTGCAACCAGAGGGGAAAAAAAACTCTAGACCACCTTTACTCCACACACAGAGATGCGTACAAAGCTCTCCCTCGCCCTCCATTTGGCAAATCTGACCATAATTATATCCTCCTGATTCCTGCTTACAAGCAAAAACTAAAGCAGGAAGTACCAGTGACTCGCTCAATACAGAAGTGGTTAGATGACGCAGATGCTAAGCTACAGAACTGTTTTGCTAGCACAGACTGGAATATGTTCCGGGATTCTTCCGATGGCATTGCGGTGTACACTACATCAGACACTGGCTTCATCAATAAGTGCATTGATGACGTCATCCCCACAGTGACCGTACGTACATACCCCAACCAGAAGCAAGGGATTACAGGCAACATCCGCACTGAGCTAAAGGGTAGAGCTACCGCTTTCAAGTAGCGGGACTCTAACCTCCGACGAACCATCAAACAGGCAATGCGTCAATACAGGACTATGATTGAATCGTACAACACTGGCTCCGACGCTCGTCGGATGTGGCAGGGCTTGCAAACTATTACGGACTACAAAGGAAAGCACAGCCGCGAGCTGCCCAGTGACACGAGCCTACTGGACAAGCTAAATGACTTCTATGCTCGCTTCGAGGCAAGCAACACTGAAGCATGCATGAGCGCATCAGCTGTTCCGGACAACTGTGTGATCATGCTCTCCGTAGCCGATGTGAGTAAGACCTTTAAACAGGTCAACATTCACAAGGCCAGATTACCAGGATGTGTACTCTGAGAATGCGCTGACCAACTAGCAAGTGTCTTCATTGACATTTTCAACATGTCCCTGGCTGAGTCTGTAATACCAACATGTTTCAAGCAGACCACCATAGTCCCTGTGCCCAAGAACACTAAGGTAACCTGCCTAAATGACTACCGAGCCGTAGCACTCACGTCTGTAGCCATGAAGTGCTTTGAAAGGCTGGTCATGGCTCACATCAACACCATTATCCCAGAAACCCTAGACCCACTCCAATTTCCCACCTGGGAAAAAGGAACACCTACTTCCTTACACAGGAAGTGGCACAGGTCCTAATCCACTGGCTATCATAAGGTGAATGCACCAATTTGTAAGTCGCTCTGGATAAGAGCGTCTGCTAAATTACGTAAATGTAATGTAAATGTAAATATTTGAGAATGCTATTCATTTACTACAGCTCAGCGTTCAACACCATGGTGCCCTTAAAGCTCATCACTAAGCTAAGGACCCTGGGAACTAAACACCTCCCTCTGCAACTGGATCCAGGACTTCCTGACGTGCCACCCCCAGGTGGTAAGGGTAGGTAATAACACATCCACCACACTGATCCTCAACACTGGGCCCCCTCAGGGGTGCGTGCTCTGTCCCCTCAGGTATTCCCTGTTCACCCATGACCGCATGGCCAGGCACGACTCCAAAACCATCATTAAGTTTGCCGACGACACAACAGTGGTAGGCCTGATCACCGACAACAATGAGACAGCCTATTCACCCTCAGGAGACTGAAAAGATTTGGCATGGGTCAGATCCTCAAAAAGTTATACAGCTGCACCATCGAGAGCGTCCTGACTGGTTGCATCACCACCTGGTATGGCAACTGCTCGGCCTCCGACTGCAAGGCACTACAGAGGGTAGAGCGTACGACCCAGTACATCACTGGAGCCAATCTTCCTGCCATCCAGGACCTCTACCAGGCGGTGTTCAAGGAAGGCCCTAAAAATTGCCAAAGACTCCAGCCACCCTAGTCATAGAATGTTCTCTCTGCTACCGTACGGCAAGCGGTACCGGAGCGCCAAGTCTAGATCCAAAAGGCTTCTTAACAGCTTCTACCCCCAAGCCATAAGACTCTTGAACAGCTTATAAAATGGCTATATGGACTATTTGCATTTTCCCCCCACCCATACCACCCCATCTTTTACGCTGCTGCTACTCTCTGTTTATTATCTATGCATAGTCAGTTTACCTCTACCTACATGTACATATTACCTCAATTACCTCGACTAACCTGTACCGGTAACCCCTGTATATAGCCTCGCTACTGTTATTTTATTGTTGCTCTTTAATTATTTGTTATTTCAGTTCATTTTAGTAAATACTTTCTTAACACATATTTTTCTTAAAACTGCATTTTTGGTTAAGGGCTTGTGAGGTAAGCATTTCACTGTAAGGTCTAAACCTGTTGTATTCAGCACATGTGAGAAATAAAATTTGATTTGATTCTATTATTCACTAAGGGGCCTATTCAGACTTGACATACTGTTGACTTAACATTGACTTAGGTAAAACAAATGTTGACTTTATTGACTTAAGTCCATGTTTTAAAAAAAATTTAAATCATATTTTCTTTGCCACATGCGCCGAATACCTTACAGTGAAATGCTTACAGTACTTACAAGCCCTTAACCAACAATGCAGTTTTAAGAAAAATAAGTGTTAAGTAAAAAATAGATAAGTAAAAAATCAAAAGATAACAAATAATTAAAGTGCAGCTCTAAAATAAAATAACATTAGGGAGGCTATACAGTGGCTTACGAAAGTATTCCCCCCCCCCCCCCCTTTTTTCCTATTTTGTTGCCTTACAACCTGGAATTAAAATGGATTTTTTGGCGGTTTGTATCATTTGATTTACACAACATGCCTACCACTTTGAAGATGCAAAATATTTTTTATAGTGAAACAAACAAGAAATAAGACCAAAAAAATTGAAAAACATGAGCGTGCATAACTATTCACCACCCCCAAAGTCAATACTTTGTAGAGCCATCTTTTGCAGCAATTACAGCTGCAAGTATCTTGGGGTATGTCTCTATAAGCTTGGCACATCTAGCCACTGGGATTCTTGCCCATTCTTCAAGGCAAAATTGCTCCAGCTCCTTCAAGTTGGATGGGTTCAGCTGGTTTACACCTATCGTTAAGTCATACCACAGATTTTCAATTGGATTGAGGTCTGGGCTTTGACTAGGCCATTCCAAGACATTTAAATGTTTCCCCTTAGACCACTCAAGTGTTGCTTTAGCAGTATGCTTAGGGTCATTGTCCTCAATCTCTGGAAGACTGAAACAGGTTTCCCTCAAGAATGTCCCTGTATTTAGCACCATCCATCATTCCTTCAATTCTGACCAGTTTCCCAGTCCCTGCCAATGAAAAAAAAAAACATCCCTACAGCATGAACTGCAACCACCATGCTTTACTGTGGGGTTGGTGTTCTCGGGGTGATGAGAGGTGTTGGGTTTGCACCAGACATAGCGTTTTCCTTGATGGCCTAAAAGCTAAATTATAGTCTCATCTGACCAGAGTACCTTCTTCCATATGTTTGGGGAGTCTCCCACATGCCTTTTGGCGGACACCAAACGTGTTTGCTTATTCTTTTCTTTAAGCAATGGCTTTTTTCTGGCCACTCTTCCGTAAAGCCCAGCTCTGTGGAGTGTGCAGCTTAAAGTGGTCCTATGGACAGATACTCCAATCTCTGCTGTGGAGCTTTGCGTGTCATTCAGGGTTATCTTTGGTCTCTTTGTTGCCTCTCTGATTAATGCCTTCCTTGCCTGGTCCGTGAGATTTGGTGGGCGGCCCTCTCTTGGCAGGTTTGTTGTGGTGCCATATTCTTTCCATTTTTTAATAATGGATTTAATGGTGCTCTGTGGGATGTTCAAAGTTTCTGATATTTTTTTATAACCCAACCCTGATCTGTACGTCTCCACAACTTTGTCCCTGACCTGTTTGGAAAGGTCCTTGGTCTTCATGGTGCCGCTTGCTTGGTGGTGCCCCTTGCTTAGTGGTGTTGCAGACTCTGGGGCATTTCAGAACAGGTGTATACAGTTGAAGTCGGAAGTTTACATACACCTTAGCCAAATACATTTAAACTCAGTTTTTCACAATTCCTGACATTTAATCCCAGTGAAAATTCCCTGTTTTATGTCAGTTAGGATCACCACTTTATTTTAAGAATGTGAAATGTCAGAATAATAGTAGAGAATGATTTATTTCAGCTTTTATTTCCTTCATCACATTCCCAGTGGGTCAGAAGTTTACATACACTCAATTAATATTTGGTAGCATTGCCTTTAAATTGTTTAACTTGGGTCAAACGTTTTCGGGTAGCCTTCCACAAGCTTCCCACAATAAGTTGGGTGAATTTTGGCCCATTCCTCCTGACAGAGCTGGTGTAACTGAGGTTTGTAGGTCTCATTGCTCGCACACGCTTTTTCAGTTCTGCCCACAAATGTTCTATAGGATTGAGGTCAGGGCTTTGTGATGGCCACTCCAGCACCTTGACTTTGTCCTTTAGCCATTTTGCCACAACTTTGGAAGTATGCTTGGGGTCATTGTCCATTTGGAAGACCCATTTGCTACCAAGCTTTAACTTCCTGACTGATGTCTTGAGATGTTGCTTCAATATATCCACATAATTTTCCTTCCTCAAGATGCCATCTATTTTGTGAAGTGCACCAGGCCCTCCTGCAGCAAAGCACCCACACAGCATGATGCTGCCACCCCTGTGCTTCACGGTTGGGATGGTGTTCTTCGGCTTGCAAGCTACCCCCTATTTTCCTCTAAACATAACGATGGTCATTATGGCCAAACAGTTCTATTTTTGTTTCATCAGACCAGAGGACATTTCTCCAAAAAGTACGATCTTTGTCCCCATGTGCAGTTGCAAACCGTAGTCTGGCTTTTTTATGGCGGTTTTGGAGCAGTGGCTTCTTCTTTGCTAAACAGCCTTTCAGGTTATGTCGATATAGGACTTGTTTTACTGTGGACATAGATACTTTTGTACCTGTTTCCTCCAGCATCTTCACAAGGATTGATTTGCACTTTTCGCACCAAAGTACGTTCATCTCTAGGAGACAGAACGCGTCTCCTTCCTGAGCGGTATGACGGCTGCGTGGTCCCATGGTGTTTATACTTGCATACTATTGTTTGTTCAGATGAACGTGGTACCTTCTGGCATTTGGAAATTGCTCCCAAGGATGAACCAGACTTGTGGAGATCTACACATTTTTTTGAGGTCTTGGCTGATTTCTTTTGATTTTCCCATGATGTCAAGCAAAGAGGCACTGAGTTTGAAGGTAGGCCTTGAAATACATCCATAGGTACATCTCCAATTGTCTCAAATTATGTCAATTAGCCTATCAGAAGCTTCTAAAGCCATGACATCATTTTCTGTACAATGCAAATAGTCCGGGTAGCAATGATTAGCTGTTCAGTAGTCTTATGGCTTGGGGGTAGAAGCTGTTAAGCCTTTTGGACCTAGACTTGGCGCTCCGGTACCGCTTGCCGTGCGGTACCAGAGAGAACAGTCTATGACTAGGGTGGCTGGAGTCTTTGACAATTTTTTGGATCTTCGTCTGACACCGCATGGTATAGAGGTCCTGGATGGCAGGAAGCTTGGCCCCAGTGATGTACTGGGCTGTACGCACTACCCTCTGTAGTGCCTTGAGGTTGGAGGCCGAGCAGTTACCATGTGATGCAACCTATCAGGATTTCTCTCGATGGTGCAGCTGTATAACTTTTTGAGGATCTGAGGACCCATACCCAATCTTTTCAGTCTCCTGAGAGGGAATAGGCTTTGTCGTGCCCTCTTCACGACTGTCTTGGTGTGTTTGGACCATGATAGTTTGTTGGTGATGTGGACACCAAGGAACTTGAAGCTCTCAACCTGTTCCACTACAGCCCCATCGATGAGAATGGGGGCGTGCTCAGTCCTCTTTTTTTCCTGTAGTCCACAATCATCTCCTTTGTCTTGATCACGTTGAGGGAGAGGTTGTTATTCTGGCACCACACGTCCAGGTCTCTGACCTCCTCCCTATAGGCTGTCTCATTGTTGTCAGTGAAAAGGCCTACCACTTGTGTCGTCAGCAAACTTAATGATGGTCGTGCCTGGCCATGCACAGGGAGTACAGGAGGGGACTGAGGACGCACCCCTGATGGGCCCCCGTGTTGAGGATCAGCGTGGCAGATGTGTTGTTACCTACCCTTACCACGTGGGGGCGGCCCGTCAGGAAGTACTGGATCCAGTTGCAGAGGGAGGTGTTTATTCCCAGGGTCCTTAGCTCAGTGATGAGCTTTGAGGGCACTATGGTGTTGAACGCTGAGCTGTAATCAATGAATAGTATTCTCACGTAGGTGTTCCTCTTGTCCAGTTGGGAAAGGGCAGTGTGGAGTGCAATAGAGATTGCGTGATCTGTGGATCTGTTGGGGTGGTATGCAAATTGGAGTGGGTCTAGGGTTTCTGGGATAATGGTGTTGATGTGAGCCATGACCAGCCTTTCAAAGCACTTCATGGCTACAGACGTGAGTGCTACGGGTCGGTAGTCATTTAGGCAGGTTACCTTAGTGTTCTTGGGCACAGGGACTATGGTGGTCTGCTTGTAACATGTTGGTATTACAGACTCAGCCAGGGACATGTTGAAAATGTCAGAGAAGACACTTGCCAGTTGGTCAGCGCATGCTTTGAGTACGCGTCCTGGAAATCTGTCTGGCCCTACGGCCTTGTGAATGTTGACCTTCTTAAAAGTCTTACTCACATCGGCTACAGAGAGCGTGATCACATAGTCATCCGGAACAGCTGATGCTCTCATGCATGCTTCAGTGTTGCTTGCCTCGAAGCAAGCATAGAAGTGATTTAGCTTGTCTGGTAGGCTCGTGTTACTGGGCAGCTCGTGGCTGTAATAGTTTGCAAGCCCTGCCACATCCGACGAGCGTCGGAGCCGGTGTAGTACGATTCAATCTTAGTCCTGTATTGACTCTTTGCCTGTTTGATGGTTCGTCAGCGGGCATAGTTGCATTTCTTATAAGCATCCGGGTTATAGTCCCGCTCCTTGAAAGCGGCAGCTTTAGCTCAGTGTGGATGTTGCCTGTAATCCATGGATTCTGATTGGGGTATGTACGTACGGTCACTGTGGGAACAACATCATCAATGCACTTATTGATGAAGCCAGTGACGGATGTGGTGTACTCCTCAATGCCATCGGAAGAATCCCGGAACATATTTCAGTCTGTGCTAGCAAAACAGTCCTGTAGCTTAGCATCTGCATCATCTGACCACTTCCTTATTAACAGAGTCACTGGTGCTTCCTGCTTTAGTTTTTGCTTGTAAGCAGGAATCAGGAGGATATAGTTATGGTCAGATTTGCCAAATGGTACGCGTCTCTGTGTGTGGAGTAAAGGTAGTCTAGAGTTTTTTCGTGCCAGCATCAGTTTGTTGTGGAAAATAGACAGCTACGAAAAATATAGATGAAAACTCTCTTGGTAAATAGTGTGGTCTACAGCTTATCATGAGATACTCTACCTCAGGCGAGCAATACCTTGAGACTTCCTTAATATTAGATTTTGTGCACCAGCTGTTGTTTACAAATATACACAGACCGCCAACCCTTGTCTTACCAGAGTCAGACGTTCTATCCTGCTGATGTAGCGTATATCCCACCAGCTGTATGTTATCCATGGAAGAGGGAGATTACTCGCTCGCCGTCGGATCCTTACAAGGCACCCCGAACTACGTCCACGATATCTCTGTCTCTTTCTCATGCTAATGATGGAGATTTGGGGCTTGTCGGAGTGTCTGTAGACTATCCTTCGCGTCCTACTTGTTGAAGAAAAAATCTTCGTCCATTACGAGGTGAGTAATAGCTGTCCTGATATCCAGAAGCTCTTTTTGGTCATAAGAGACGGTGGTAGAAACGTTATGTACAGAATAAATTACAAATATCGCGAAAAAACAACCATAAAAGCACAATTGGTCAGGGGGCCGTAAAACGTCAGCCATCTCCTCCGGCGCCATTCTGAACATATTGACTTAAGTCTACTTACAGTGCATTCAGAAATTATAATAATAATAATAATAATATGCCATTTAGCAGACGCTTTTATCCAAAGCGACTTACAGTCATGCGTGCATACATTTTTCAGACCCCTTCACTTTCTCCACATTTTGTTACGTTACAGCCTTAATCTAAATGTATTTTGTTTAAATGTCCTCATCAATCAACACACAATACGCCATAATTTTTATATATACATACAATACCTGTCAAAAGTTTGGACACCTACTCATTCAAGGGTTTTTCTTTATTTGTACTATTTTCTACATTGTAGAATATTAGTGGAGACATAAAAACTATGAAATAAGTGTTACGACTTCCTCCGAATCTGCCTCCTCTCCCTGTTCGGGCAGGCTTCGGCGTTCGTCGTCACCGGCCTTTTAGCCACTTCTGCTCCATATCTCATCATTCTATTTGTTTTGTCTTGTCTATTACACACACCTGGTTCATATCCCCTCATTAGTCCGTGTATAAGTGTTCCCTCTGCCCCTTTGTCCTTGTGGGTGATTGTTTATTGTGAGGAGATAGTTGCTCGGTTGAGCTCAGTGCCTGTTTGTTCCAGTGTGCCTGTTTTGCGCACTGGATTGGTTAACGCTGTATTACGGAATAAACTCTGTATACAGTGATATACCCTCCTGCGCCTGACTCCTTCAAATCACGCATCACAATCAGTAGGTGTATCCAAACTTTTGACTGGTACTGTATATGAAATATCACATTTACATAACTATTCAGACACTTTACTCAGTACTTTTTTGAATACATGAGGTTGGTGGCACCTTAAACTCGATCCTGACTAGTCTCCCAGTCCCTGCCGCTGAAAAACATCCCCACAGCATGATGCTGCCACCACCATGCTTCACCGTAGGGATGGTATTGGCCAGGTGATTAGCGGTGCCTGGTTTCCTCCAGATGTGACGCTTGGCATTCAGGCCAATGAGTTCAATCTTGGTTTCATCAGACCAGAGAATCTTGTTTTCCATGGTCTGAGAGTCCTTTAGGTGCCTTTTGGCAAACTCCAATGGGGCTGTCATGTGCCTTTTACTGAGGAGTGGCTTCCGTCTGGTCACTCTACCATAAAGGCCTGACTGGTGGAGTGCTGCAGAGATGATAGTCCTTCTAGAAGGTTCTCCCATCTCCACAGAGGAACTCTGGAGCTCTGTCAGAGAGATCATCAGGTTCTTGGTCACCTCCCTGACCAAGACCCTTCTCCCTCGATTGCTCAGTTTGGCCGGGCGGCCAGCTCTAGGAAGAGTCTTGGTGGTTCCAAACTTCTTCCATTCAAGAATGATTGATTGAGGCCGCTGTGTTCTTGGGGACCTTCAATGCTGCAGATATTTTTTACTACCCTTCCCCAGATCTGTGCCTCGACCTAATCCTGTCTCGGATCTCAAGGACAATTCCTTCGACCTCATGGCTTGGTTTTTGCTCTGACATGCACTGTCAACTGTGTGTGCCTTTCCAAATCATGTCCAATCAATTGAATTTACCACAGGTTGATTCCAATCAAATTGTAGGATCATCAATGGAATCAAGATGCACCTGAGCTCAATATTGAGTCTCATAGCAAAGGGTCTGAATACTTATGTAAATAATGTATTTCCGTTTTTTATTTTTAATACATTTGTAAAAATGTCTAAAAACCTGTTTTCGCTTTGTCATTTTGGTGTATTGTGTGTAGATTGATGGGGATTTTTATTTATTTAGAATACTTTCCTAATGCACTGTGTCTTAAGTCTGAAAGGGGTCCTAAATTATTAACTGTTCAATCAGTCAACTTATCAATTAGTTCAAGATGAACACACAGTACAGATTCCAGAGCTCACAATGAAACATTCCTTAAGACAGCAGTAGTCCAAAGTCCTCCTTGTTGTGTCTCAGGAACGTCTGTCCTTGCTTCATAATACCGGGAGAGGACTCACTGGAGCTGTCTGAGATCAAACGGATCAATCGGGAATTCCAGGTCAGTGAACTTGAAGAATGGAGACATGAATTGCTTACACACATATTTTGGTCCTACACAGGTCAGGGTGTATATTATATAATTGTTATCATATATTTGGACACACCTTGGTCAGGAATCTATCGAAGACGCACTATAGCAGAGGTCACTACAGCTGACAATGCGGCTTTCAAAGGCGTTCGCGGCGATCACATTCATGGTAAACGCAGGGTAAACGCTCAAGCGTAAATTACCTTTAACAGGCTGTTATAGTGCTCTGCGCTATTGCCCGCCTTGAATTTAATCCAGGCACTTGTCTTTACAACTAAGGCATTACTTCATTTTGTTATACAAATACATTCATGTAAGATTAAAAGGCAATGAGCTTGTATAATTGTATCCAGTTTATTGTTTGTTGAAACTGTTTTTACGCCCCTCAGGATGAGACAGAGAGTCTGGTCTATGGGGGTCGCTATGACAACCGTGAGGACTTTACTGTGGTCCTCCAACCCTACTTCCGAAACTCCATCGTCCCTTTGAACTCAGTAAGTGTATGTTCAGGGTTTATCTACAGTAATTGTGGCCAGTACTGAAAGTTTCACAGACATTCAAACGGCTGTAGGTCATCAGCATCTTTCGGCTGCATTGCTCATAATCAACGTGTGTAGGTACTTACATATTGATATGCTACACTATATATACAAAAGTATGTGGACACCCCTTCAAATTAGAGGATTCGGCTATTTCAGCCACACCCGTTTCTGACAGGTGTTTAAAATCAAGCACACAGCCATGCAATCTCCATAGACAAACATTGGCAGTAGAATGGCCCGTACTGAAGAGCTCAGTCACTTTCAACGTGGCACCGTCATAGGATGCCACCTTTCCAACAAGTCAGTTCGTCATATTTCTGCCCTTCTAGAGCTGCCCCGGTCAACTGTAAGTGCTGTTATTGTGAAGTGTAAATGTCTAGGAGCAACAACGACTCAGTCGTGACGTGGTAGGCCACACAAGCACACAGAATGGGATTGCCGAGTGCTGAAGCGCATAGCACGTACAAATTGTTTGTCCTCAGTTGCAACACTCACTACCGAGTTCCAAACTGCCTCTGGAAGCAACGTCAGCACAAGAACTGTTCGTTGGGAGCTTCATGAAATGGGTTTCCATGGCCGAGTAGCCGCACACAAGCCTGAGATCACCATGCGCAATGCCAAGAGTCGGCTGGAGTGGTGTAAAGTTCACCGCAATTGGACTCTGGAGCAGTGGAAACGCGTTCTCTGGAATGACAAATCACGTTTCACCATCTGGCATTCCGATGGACGAATCTGGGTTTGGCAGATGCCAGGAAAACGCTATTGCCCAATGCATAGTGCCAACTGTAAAGTTTGGTGGAGGAGGAATAATGGTCTGGTGCTGTTTTTCATGGCTCGGGCTAGGCCCCTTAGTTCTAGTGAAGGGAAATATTAACGCTACAGCGTACAATTACATTCTAGACGATTCTGTGCTTCTAACTTTGTGGCAACAGTTTGGGGAAGGCCCTTTCGTGTTTCAGCATGACAATGCCCTCGTGCACAAAGCGAGGTCCATACAGAAATGGTTTGTCGAGATCGGTGTGGAAGAACTTGACTGGCCTGCACAGACCTCAAACCCATCGAACATCTTTGGGATAAATTGGAACACCGACTGCAAGCCAGGCCTAATCGCCCAACATCAGTTCCCGACCTCACTAATGCTCTTGTGGCTGAATGGAAGCAAGTCCCCGCAGCAATGTTCCAACATCTAGTGGAAAGATGAGTGAAGAAAACAAGATTCCCAGAAGAGTGGAGGCTGTTATAGCAGCAAATGGGGGACCAACTCCATATTAATGCCCATGATTTTGGAATGAGATGTTTGACGAGCAGGTGTCCACATACTTTTGGTAATGTAGTGTATTTGACTGTGCAAAACTGTAAAGATTACTCAAGTAATGGCTTGAGTTCGATATATGTTCTCTCTCTCAGGAAGGTAAGCCGGACATTACTTACTTCTCCGTGGACTGTTTTCACTTTAGTGAGCAGGGACATGCTGAAATGGCCATTGCACTATGGAATAACATGGTGAGTCTGGTTAGGGAACTGATGATTGAGTAATCACTGCATGTGCTTGGGTAGAAAGGGCACCTTTGGTACTTTATTGGGTTGGTACATTTTTGTGACAACAGTACAATGGTAGGTGGAAGCCTTAGTCATGTTTCATTGTTGTTTCATTTGCAGTTGGAGCCAGTGGGCCAAAAGCAGACCCACAATAACTTCACATATGACCGCAGCAAGATTCAGTGCCCCATAGAGGTAGGATGTTACCACTGTACAACAGTCACACATTGTAACACTCAGTTATTTTTATATAAAATATAAACGCAACATGTAAAGTATTGGTCCCACGTTTCATGAGCTGAAATAAAAGATCCCAGAAATGTTCCATACGGCAAAAAATATTATTTCTCAAACAATTTGAGCACAAATTTGTTTACATCCCTGTTAGTGAGCATTTCTCCTTTGCCAAGATAATCCATCCACCTGACAGGAAGTGGCATATCAAGAAGCTGATTAAACAGCATGATCATTTCACAGGGGAAAATAAAAGGCCACTTTAAAATGTGCATGTTTTGTTACACAACACAATGCCACAGATGTCTCATGTTTTGAGGAAGCGTGCAATTGGCATGCTGACTGCAGGAATATCCACAATTTCTCTAGCATAAGCCGTTTCCAACATCATTTTAGAGAATTTGGCAGTATGTCCATCCGGCCTCACAACCACAGACCGCATGTAACTACGCCAGCCCAGGACCTCCACATCCGGCTTCTTCACCTGTGGGATCGTCTGAAACCAGCCACCTGGACAACTGATGAAACTGAGGAGGATTTCTGTCTGTAATAAAGCGCTTTTGTGGGGGAAAAACTCATTCTGATTGGCTGGGCCTGGCTCGCAAGTGGGCCAAGTGGGTGGGCCTATAACCTCCCAGGCCCACCCTTGGCTGGACCCCTGCCCAGTCATGTGGAATACATAGATTAGGGCCTAATTAATTTATTCAATTGACTGATTTCCTTATATGAACCGTAACTCAGTAAAATCGTTGAAATTATTGCATGTTGCGTTTATATTTTTGTTCAGTATATATCCTAATACTATCCTGTACTGGCTATATATAAAAAATAATTTAACATGCCTGCTACTGTAAGGGTGCCTTCAAGCCAAAGCACATGAAAAGTATGTCAGTATGTGGTGGGGAAGAATTATAAGATAGAAATGCTGTTCTACGTTTTAAATTGGTTGACGGATACGTCTATTCTGTTGGGCAGTGCAACACAAAACTAGGCCCTCCCCCAACGTACTTCTCTCACTGAGGGTAAATTCAATTAAGCTGACCCGGGTTGCACTGGGCTATGGCCCGTCACGTGACTGGGTGAAGCCGGTGAGGGAAGCACGCCCTGCTCAGATCTAACAATAATCTGTGCCGCTCGGTCATATTTTCAACTAGGCAGCATAATGCATTGCTCAGAAACATACACCTCTTTTTCATAAAATATATGTTTGAATTTTCCAAGTAGTTTTCATTGGGAAGGCATATAAAGTGTTTTTATAAAAAGCCATCACTTTTGCATGTGAAAACATACAATCCTGTCATTACTACACGTGCTTTACCTAGGTCACTTTTGTTTTGAGCCGACTTTAGCTGTCGACCAGAAGGGGGCATCCGGCTCAAACCCGGGAAGCAGCCCGGTTCCAAAACGAATGCAATCACTTTTCACCCGGGCCATTTTAATCGAATCCTCTCATTGAAAAGCAATGAGTTGCTGCATTTTTTACACATCAATTTGTCTGGATTATTCTGATGTATTCTGACTTTGAACTTCAGGTTAGCTGAAGCCAGATAGCTTGAGAAAATGTAGACTTTATTGAGCCCTTTTATCCATCAATGATTTGTCATGTAGCAGTATGTCAAGTCTTTTACTGCAGTCACTGTCCCACAAAACCAAATGCATATACCAGTATGTAATATGTGCTATCTGCTACTATCTTTCAGGATCATCCTTACATCTTCACTAGAGTGAACAGTTTCCCCAGTGTGCCTACCACATCAGCACCCAGCACAGCCACTCCTCTCAATGCAATCTGCTCAGATAATGTGCCGGTATGGGTGGCTGCAGTGCTGGCGGTGGTGGGCCTCCTGATTGGCTGGGGTGTGACCTGGCTCCTCCTCTCCTGCAGGAAGAAGAAAAACAGGAGGAAGATGGAAAGTGTGGTGGAGATGATGAGTACTGGGTTCTAGAACTGCATTCGACATATTTAATCTCCAATCTAAATAATTTGATGCTCTCCCCCTCTTGACCTCAGAACAGCCTTAATTCGTCGGGGGCATGGACTCTTCGCGTGCCCTTACCAAAAATAAACCTGTACCTTTTTAAGCGCTCCATGTCTTGCAGCGAAGACAAATGGATTATGCTGTGCTCGCAACAAGTCACATTCTTGTCTGTTTGACAGAATCGGTCTGTGTCCTCCCCTCTGGTTTAAGTCAACCCTTCAGAACAGCCTCAATTCGTTGGGGCAAGGACTCTACAAGTTGTCGAAAGCGTTCCACAGGGACGCTGGCCCATGTTGACTCCAATGCTTTCCACAGTTATGTCAAGTTGGCTGGATGTCTATTGGGTGGTGGACTATTCTTGATACACACAGGAAACTTTTGAGCGTGAAACTGTGTTGCAGTTCTTGACAGAAACCGGTGCGCCTGGCACCTACTACCATTCAAAGGCACTTAAATATTTTGTCTTGCCCATTCACCCTCTGAATGGCACACATACACAATTCATGTCTCAATTGTCTCAATGCTTTAAAATCCTTCTTTAACCTCTTAAATATAATGGCAAAATGTAGATTTCCGCCTAAATAGACATACCCAAAAGTAACTGCTATTCATGTGTAATTACATGATTCTGACATGCAAAAACTTGGTATATTTGGAAAGAAGACATCTGGGAGATTGAGGAAATGATCAGAAGATAGGAGTTACATAGTTCAGAATACACAAGATCAAGCACACACAAAATAGCAGTTTTTTGGTTAGTAATCTTTCATTGACAAGCTATAAGTGAATTATTGATGACTAGAGCTGGAAACACATCAGATGGCTTCCACAATATGTGAACAATATCAGAAAAAAAGGGATTGATAGACCTAACAACTAGAAATGGGCAGATGTTTTAGTAAGTGGTGTCAGGTGTGGTCACGGGACGTTTCCAAGTCTCTGAGCCAGGAAGCAATAGTTCTCATTACGCATAAAATGTTCTAGGCCTTGCTTTGTCCCACCCAGGTCAACTTCATATCCCTGGAAAGCTACAGCTAGGGATGCCTACAGCGTGTAAGCAGGAAACATCATATTTTTGATGCACAAAGATATCGGTGGACATAATGTTGCCATTAAGTCATACATCATCAGATTACATACCCCTCAAGTAGCTATAGCTCAAACACAGACCAAATCGAAGCTTACCTTGTAAGATGTTCGCTGTTTGGTGAAAACGTTGTGTAAAATCAACATTTTGACTCTCGGGGCTTGTGATCAATAACGGTAGGTCACAGGCAGACAAATAAGATATCCTCATGATCTGTGGAGTCCTGGCTTTCGGTGTGTATCAACGTATTCCGTGTTTACTTCGTTTATGCTTCACAACGCTAACCGGAACGTAGGTAGCAGCCATCTTGAAAGAGGTCATCGGCTCGGCCTACGCTTATATATTCGTATGCCCATATATGGTAGTAAGTTACACCAAAGATTTGAAGGCACCGATCAATAGCCAATATACTCAGCTTTCCGCAGACATCCTGTTTTTGCAGATAGGGGCTACCGTTCTCATAACAGACTGAATTGAATAACAAATAATCAAATAGAGTCCCCAAATATGGGGACTTCCTGTTTCCTCCCCTTCATCTACACTGATTGAAGTGGATTTAACAAGTGCCATCAATACGGGATCATAGATTTCACCTGGATTCACCTGGTCATGGAAAGAGCAGGTGTTCTTAATGTTTTGTATACTCAGTGCACAGTTCCAGGCAAATATTTTGGCATCCTTGCAGTTTTCTTAAATAATTCCCCATTTCTTATAAAATAAGTTGAACTGGAACAAAAGTGCCCTGCCCTGCTATAGATAAACAATAAGTAATAAAGATAAGCAGGGTTAGGAGTGTCAGACAAGTTGTAGTAAAATGATTAAGTAAACCTCCAGGGGATGAATAAGCAGCTTTGCAACTAAACCAGTTCTTCCAGCTTGTAAAAACATGTATGGATGGTATATGATCTCCTTTGGGATAATAGGTTTTTACTATTACATCCGGAAGTATGTCAAGCAAATAAATCTTGTGAAAATCAGTCTATTCATCGTGTTTTGATTTCAATTTGATAGATGGTTCTGGAGGGGGGATTCTGTTGAATGTATTGTGTAGAACTAGAGCCGTGAAGGAATGAAGGACACAATGTGTCGAGAGACACAGCCCCATCTGCAACTGCAGCTCATCTGGAGAAGCAGTTCTCCAAGTTCAACTGGTTCTATTTCCATGCCTTATTGCTCCCATGTGCAGTGAAGTGTTTTAGTAACTCACTGACTCAGTCACCCCACCCACACCCCGTGAGCTCTGATACCACAAACACGTCAAATCACAAAATAAACAGTTTTCCTCTCGTTACTGTTATAACTCCACCTCCAGCTATTAACACAGCTAGTTAAACAATCGGTGCAGGAGAAGTATAACCAACATCCATGCAACCCGTGTCTATTACTGCCCTACCCTTTAGATTAAATATCATGTATAAACTGGGTGGTTCGAGCCCTGAATGCTGATTGGCTAAAAGCTGTGGTATATCAGACCGTTGCGCCGTGCAATTGCGTCGTGCCTAAGAACAGCCCTTAGCTGTGGTATATTAGCAATATACCACACCTCCTCTGGCGTTATTGCTTAAGTAACCTGTAAGTATGACCAGTGGCGACCCGTCATTCAGGGCAGGTTGGGCAGAGCCCCACCTGTTTTGAGCCCCACATTTTTAGCAAAAGATAATTGTAAAACATGCCTGTTTTGCATGTTATTTTGGCATGAATACATGTCACATATCAGTTTGCAAACAATGTAAAAAAAATAAAGCTTCAATACAAACATGGTCTCTTTTTTGCTTTCTTGAGTAAGGCAGCTCCAAAATGCAGGTGTTTCATCCTAGCTCAGTGCTTTCTGTGGTGGTGGGGCAGCCAGTTGCGCTGTGATTTGGGTAGAGCTAGAAAATTCAAGCCCCTTGGGTGCTGCCATAGACTTACATTAGAAGTGCCCATCCAAGAAGGCTCAAAGTCATTGGCTACAGATAAAATGAAGTCAAATCACGTTATATCTACAGTAGCTTTGATTGGACTGATCATGTCAACATCATACTTTCAAAATCTTAGCTGGCAGTCATCATCAGAAATCAAGTTGACAATCTACTGGCAAATCCTTTTTAATCCTTGTCATATGAAGATAAATAATGAAGAGACTTTATAGATAAAACGTATCGGTGCTCATCGGTCATTGGACATAAACATTACATAAGTTGGAAATCGCAAATTCAACAATGAGTGGTTTGGAAGGAATCAGTGGCTACGTTAACTGCAAGCATTGCAAAGCAATCACTAGCCTGCTATTCAGTGGAGTGGGTGTGTGGTCCCAAGGGTCTCTTTTCCAAGCTTAAAATTATAAACATTCAATCCAGCATGATTTCTGCCGCGCTCAAAATAACTGTTAACTCGGAACTGGGAAATCTGATTTCAGTGAGTTCAAGACAACTGGGAACTCTGGGAAAAAAATTAGCTACGACTGGGAAAATACGTTTTGAACGGTCATCCAACTCGGAATTGTAAGTCAGGAACTTGGCCTCTTTCTAGAGCTACAACCTGAAGATCACTGATTCGACCTTGTTTTTTTTCCAAGTTCCAAGTTGTCTTGAAAGCACCATAAAGTCATAAAATGCCAGACTTTGATGACAAAGTTTAATGACTAAATTTGCCCACGAAGGACCGAGCACAACAAGGTGAGTCCAAAAATGTATTGTATGCTGCTGCATAAATGATGTAATATGCCAGGGAGATATGTATACTGTGGCTAAGAAAGTAATACTAAGTGTACGTTGTGTAGTAAGCTGTTAGTAGCCCATGTGCCTCACCCTAATAATGTATTATATTTTCCCCTCTTAATTTCGCCTACTATTCTGACTTGGTGGTGCACATGTAGCCTATAACCTTTTTTAGAGAAATGTAATCATCTAATATTGTTAGAGCTTTCATTGTCTGCTTATATGCCCCCTTTATTTATCCTACGGTTCTGACTTGGTGTACAGGGAGAATACTGTAAGAACGGCCCATGTTCTGAATTCTGTCGCTGTACATTTCAAAAGTGCTGAATAAATAGTTATATTGACTAAGTTCGTCCTAGCTCGCTCATTAATGTCTTAATCAAAATTATGGATTGCCTCTTATCCGCTTGTCATCCCCTTATGCCATAGTTTGTACAGCTCAATTGTCAGTAGAAACCACATTTTGTTTAAGCAAGTCAGCCATATCAGCTATGTTTTTTTAAAAGGCAGTAAATGAGGCTGAATGAACTGTTTCGCTGCCAGACAAGGCTCCGCTGATAGCCAGGGGTGGCAGTGGTAAGGTGTTAGGACTGCTGTTGGGACTCTGCTGTTGGGACAGCTTTAGACCCGAACAGTCTGTGGGCACCGTTTGTCACCGTTATAGTGCAATTCATGTATTGTTTAGTGTTGTGTTTTGTTGTGTAGTGGCTTTGCCGGCATGCATCCCAAGTTTGCCCCACCAAGATTTACATGCTAAAATCGCCACTGAGTATGACATCACTCAAGGCCCCTCCTAAACTTTGAATGTACTACTGTTTTGATATCTTAACTCTGGAGAGGTCCACCGCTTGAAATCACAGAGTCAAGGCCATTACAATATCCACCTGGTCCTCAGCCACCTCCTTTTTAACCTGCAAAATAAGGAGAGGAGTCAGATCATGACCTTTTTCCTAATTTGAGTTATGATTTGATTAGGCACAATATAAACCTGTACTTCTGGCTGCTTTATACTTTTATTTTTATTGTTCTGTGTTGTGGTTGTCTATTGGTCTGTCTGTATGTTTGCTGTCACTGTTTTATTCCTAGTTGGAAAAACCCTACCCCCTCCCCTCCTCCTCCTGAGGTTATCAGCAGTCACACCAAACTCT